AACTGATGCAGATGAAATGCACAGTCAAATGAAATTTGGATCATTTGTGCATGAACCATCATATTTTTTTCTTTATTAAATAATATGTGAAAATGTAAGGCACCCTGAACTTAACATTTCAGTGAGTCTAAAACATGCTAATCAACTAGATGCTTTGTTAGACTAAGTTGAGTGTTAACAGTTCTACACTCACTTTATCTTAATATATTTGTATCAACATGATGTGAAATTTTGAGAATGCATGGATCTGCGGAGTTGCCCCTGCTCTTTTGTCTTGCAGATGGTATTAGGCCGTGCTTGCTGGAAGGATCTCCACATTGTGCATTATGATGCTAACCATCTTTGGAAAATGTCTCAAGACAGTCTTTAGTCGCTGAGTTTAACTAAACAATAGTTAAAATAAGTTAGTCACCTTTCCATTTCTCCATTTGGTGTGGAGTTCTCTTTTTTAGTATTTTAGATACCTCAAACTAAAGTAATTGTCAGATTTTGAGACTGCCTACAAAGTCAACAATAAATTCATAAACTAATCCTTAATTTTGCACAAGATTCTGTTACTGTAGATATTTAGCAGCTGAGAAGTTCAAAAGTTTATACCCTCAGATCTTTAAAAGACAAAATCTTAAGGTTAAGAAAAGTCCTGTAATGTTCTTGTTGCTCATGTAGTGAATTCTGTTTAATAGTAGTGAGTTTTGTTAAGAATGGATAGAGAAAAACAAAACACATATCGTATGTTTACTGTTTGTTAAGTCAAATTGATTATGTTCCTTTTGGCCTAATGCATTTAATCTGCAAACACTGGAATTTACCAGTATTTTAGGAGGGCAAGTGGAAGTACGATATAAAAATAAAATGTAAAATATGAAATTTTAATCTGTGGTGGAGAAATTACTAAAGGAGATTAAAATCTGCAAGTCAGAAATGTATTAATTTTGTCTGTAGGAATATTATGAAGTAGAAATAAGTGATTTTCCACTTGAAAAAAATCTGCTTCCTTTGAAAAGATATTTTTCAGACTTTGCGCAGTGTGATACTTCGAGCTGAAGGTATTATTTCCTGTATAGATTGGTTTGGGTTTGTTTTCTGAGCCTATAAAACCTTTACAGGATCTTTATCTTTTATACTTTGAAGGAGAACAATTCTTCATGTAGTATCCATCTGTATTTTATTCACTTGTGTGTACTGAAGTTGAATGTGACGTGTCTGTAAATACCATCTTGGCTTACTGCATGTTGACTTCCCATATAGACCTGCCTTTAACCTCTTCCCCTGCCTTCTGTCTTGCTGGCTGTAGGGTGTGTCTACACGATACACTAAAACTACGCAAAAGCAATTAGACTAATAAAAGAATAATGAGCCTAGTCACTGGGTTAACAGATGTGACAGAATACATTACCGTTAAGGAGCTGCAGGTACTTAGCACCTCTCACTGTAAGACACAGTTCAAACTGAACTGAGTTAAGGTGACCACTCAACTTCCAGTCTTTGAATTAGCAAACCTAAATCTGATTTTTGGAACAGATGCATTCTGTAGAGTACTGAGTAGTCTGCCCAAAGCCCGGTAAGAAATCTAAGCCTGGTTGTAACTCTGTACAGGAAATGCGTTGGGAACTTTCATTTCATTATTGATTTAAGACAATCAAAGTGTGGACTGTTACTGAAGACAATAGTTCATTTAGTATATGACTGCAGAGTCTGTTCCAGTGAGGGTAGCAGGAGCTCGTGGCTAGAAGAGAGCAATTAGACTTCTGGTAGTAATCTGTAAATCTAAACCTGCTGTGAAACTGCAGTTGTCTCCCTTTCTGGATCCAGTCCCCAGATTGCACTAAGTTCTATGAAGTGATATGCAGCTCTTGTTTAAAAGAAAGGAAGAGTGACCAGGAGAGCTGATAAGCTATTATGTGTGCTCAGGAGAGGATGGTTATTTTATTGGCATATATGAGTTTCAGGATTCTGTAGTTCTCTGTGTTCTGTGAACCAACTATTTGTAAGTACTTCACACACTTGTTCTCTACAAGCCTGTCTCACTGACCACTGACAGGGTAACTTTTAACAAATATCCATATTTCAGCTATCACACTGGATGCTTAAAGTCCATTTTGTGTAAATTTTGGAAACTCTGAAACTGCTTTAGTGAATTATGGTAAAGATATGTTTTCTGCTACTGGCACCTTTTTGAGACACATTGTCTGGGGAAAGTTCCCTTTTTTACCATGATTACTAATGAAGAGAAGACTGTAGTTTAAGATACTATTGTGGTATGTATTCCTTATGGCTTTGCTGATGGGCTTATTAAACTGTTGTACTTCTTGGTGTGTTTTCATGCTGCGTGCTTTGATACTTGCTCATAAACAAGGTATTAGTGATTTACTTTAAACATTACATTTTAAGCTGCTTAGTAAATAGAGGGTTGTATTTCAGCAAGAAATTCATATGAACATTGTTTTCTGATATTGTGACCTATTTTGAAGATTAAGGAATTGATCTCTGAGAATTTTGAACATTTGTAAAACCCTTTGTCACTTCACAGGTTCACGGAATGCAAAAATTTAGGTCCGTGTGCAGGAGAAATGTGTGTTTGCATTATCTGTATTTTGTTCAGGAGCATTTTGAAAACCGAAAACCAAAAAGTTTAAATACTTATTTATCTGTAAGTGTGCTTTCATGAAATTTAGTGCTGTTCATCTTAACCATGTATTGCTCTTTGTGTTTCCAAATTTCAGGTCTCAGTACTAAAAAAGGAGGTAGATCAAAAAGGTGGAAGAAATTGTTCGTGCAAGGTGGCTCACATAAATGTGCACTTTGCAATGTCAGTTTTTTCCAGCAGTGCAGGCAGACCTTTTCAAGAAGTTCAGTCCTGTATTTTCTCTTAGTGGACTTTTTTTTTTTTTTTTTTTTTGCTGCTACTTCTCCAGAGAGTATGATCTCTGACCTTGCATGTTCCCTCTTTGTCCCTTCATGGGAACTGTTCTTCTGTTTCTCCTCCTTGTTCTCAGCTGTAGCAAATTTATATTTCTCTTTGACAAACTGATCTCTCTTTTGTTGTTGGGGTTGCGTAATTCTACAGTTAACATCCTCATGTAAAGAGTTATTCTGCCAGAACCTGTGGAAGAAGTTAGCAAATCTTGAATATTGTCTGCAGCTTTCTTGTCCTTTATGCTTTACATGTCTGATTTATATTGTCCAGTGCAGTTGCATCTTTAGTTTCTTCAGCCAGTTCATACTTCACAGTTCATACAAAAGTATCTTCTATTAAGATTCCTTAAAGGAATCCTTGTGTATTTCTTCCTCAGTTTCTGCATCCTGGCATCTTTTTCTTCCTCCTTTGCCAATATGCTCTCACAAATATTTTTACAGCCATATGATTTTTGAGGTAAATAATTTTATTGTGTAGAATACAAGTATATATTTCATATCTGTGGCTGTTGGGAGTTCATATTTGTTTGAAGGTAACTGCAATTTTTCTTCAGTATCCATGCCATATAGGTGTTAAATTTGACTTTGTATACTTGGCTGGAGAAAATCTATTAATGCTTAGAGACAAAATAAAGGCAAATCAGAAATATTTGAGCAGCACAGCTCTCCAGATCTCTGAAATAACAGTTATAATTTTTATGAAATGCGTCTTGAGCTAGAGAAATACAGTCAGCAAGAAACAGCTTCAGCTTCAGCTGCAAATATTTAGAGGTACCAGCACATTCTTCAGCAGTGTGTACAAAACTAAATAATTAAGGATTCAAAACTTGTGTGTCTGTATGTGTAAAACATGCATAAGGACAGCTCTGGCATATGCATCCAATAAGTGCTGCTTATGCCATCTCTAGACTCCTGAAAGTGAGAACTACATTCATTGTCTTGACTTGTTACTGGTTTTTACTTGAAAATATATTTGTTAACTTTTAATTACTGACTTGATTTTACTTTGCATTATAAAACACTGCTCTCTTTGAGTATATGGACAGTGAAGGCAGTAGTAATTTTTTTATAGAAAGCATTAATTTCTGTGCATATGGAAATTCTTCTTACTTAATATGAAAAATAGCAGAAAAATATATAATATTCCACATAGCAGTGATGCATTTTTTAAATTTCCTTGTAATACATTGTACTTGTAAAATGAGAATTGCTTTCTCTATTAGTCTTCTGCACTAAGTTAATACTTTAATTGGTGACAAAGGGCAAAGAAAAACATGTCAGCTTGGTAAAAATCCATGGTGGACATGATGAGCTTTACTAATGTAAAGTTTGTGGTAGTCAGTGCAGTATGAGAAAGCAGGTGCAGTCACCTAGTCTTCTATATTCAGCTATTTTTTTCTGAGTAGGATAATCAGCGGGACAAGTTTAGCGTTGTCTTCCCTGCAGCTTCTCCATCCCATGTTTTCCTGTCCAACCATCTTTCTCACAACTCTCCTTTTCCTTCAGCATCAGCCATACCTCTCATTTTCATTTAAAGCAGCCTAACCTTCACCCTGTCATGGGCTGGCACTGTGTCATCTGGCAAGGCAGAGACTGCGACCTGAAAAACTTTGGAGAGGCAGAAGAATGAGAAGATCTCTTCTTTCTGGGAATAGCTCATTGCAGCAGGGGTACTGGGCATTCTGCAGTACCATGGTGTGGAGCTTTCTCACTTTGAAAATACCCTCTGAGCCTTCACCTACATAAAGAAATCCATGATTGATTTAACTTGGGAAATTTCTTCTTGTGAAATCAGTTAATAGTCCTTATTTTATTATTATTACAGATAAGAAATATTTAATTTCGTTTCTCCAGTAATTATCACTTCTAATATGCTGATATGCTTCCCCATTTGTAATCATGTATTTGAAAAACATATTTAACGTGTTAATCTCATTTTTCTTTTTAAATATCAGATTAGGTTGGTTGTTTTCCTTTGGCTAAACTCCCTGGATAACTTTTTTGAATATGCTGATTCCCAAGGGAAACATCTATCTGCAGTATTACCTTTTAAGTCTGGGTTTGGGGTTTTTTTTGTGTTTCAGGAAGAAAAAAGTTAAGAAATGTCTACCAATTTAAAGTACCTTTCCTTGGGCATCCTGGTTTTACAGACCACAAGTTTAGTCTTGACCATGCGTTATTCTCGGACACTGAAAGAAGAAGGACCTCGGTACTTGTCATCTACTGCAGTAGTTATTGCTGAACTTCTGAAGATTTTGGCCTGTGTTCTATTGGTCTACAAAGACAGCAGTATGTGTCAAATTTTGCACCAAATAATTTTCCTAATCAATATGCTGTATTGTAGTGGCAACTGCAGGGCAGCCATGTGAGTACAGGCATACAACAAAGCATTTCCCTTCTCCTCATATAAGAAATAGTCTTGGAAAGACACTGATCATACTTCGCTCCTCCACACGCGATACAAGATACTGTGTATTTGCTGAAGAGAGTTCTCTTTAAAGAATATAGATACTGAGGAGTGCAAGAAAAAATTTTCTGCTAACAGGTTAAAGGCTGTGTTTTGTGTAGGCATTTTAAGAAATTCATATGTAGAAGTAGGAAGAAATGAAAACCTTTGTGTCCAAGGCATGAATGATAATATAATAAATAGATGCAGAAGGGAGGAAGCAATTTCATTATATAGGAAGAAGCACAGTTTTAAGCTCAAAAAAAGTGTATTCAGATTTACTCTAGTTCTTATTTTGTACATTTTATACTGAATTTATCTTGTTCCTTGACATATATATTTGATCTTCAGCAGCTTAAAAGTATCATTGTATATGCATAAATATTGATGACAGCAGGCTTCTAAATGTGCTGACACTCTTTAATGTATCATTTTTGAATATTGATATGGTTTCAATAAGTTCTACTTAAAGTATTCTGAATAATTGTTCTAGTTATTGTATGCCAGGCTACAGGAAGACACTTCTTGCAGCCTTTTTTTCTTATGTGTATGAGGCTCATGAAATTCAAACAAACATAGACAGTACTTTTGAGGTCTTGATAGCAGTGATAACTATAAAAAGGGGACAACAATCTTTAAGAACAGAACATTGCTATTTTTTTGTTTCAGTGAACGTTTGTTTCTTTTATTGTTTCTTTGGGTAGAGTGCAATTTACGGACTCTGAACAGAGTGCTACATGATGAAATCCTTAATAAACCCATGGAAACTCTTAAACTTGCTATTCCTTCAGGAATTTACACTCTTCAGAATAACTTGCTGTATGTAGCATTGTCAAACCTAGATGCAGCCACTTACCAGGTATTGTACTTTTGGATTTCTCTGTAAATTTCAAATAATCCCATTAATTAGGCAGTAGTAACTGTTTCTGGGTTCTTTCAGGTTACATATCAGCTGAAAATTCTTACCACAGCATTGTTTTCTGTGTCGATGTTGAGCAAGAAATTGGGTGTATACCAGTGGCTTTCATTAGTAATATTGATGACAGGAGTGGCATTTGTGCAGGTAAATATTAACAGATGGTTTGTGTTTGTTTAATGTGGTTATTCAAGGAACATGGATTTCTATACTAATTATACAGCTTTCTGATACTACCAGCTGCACGTGAGCACCTGAGTATGGTCAGGAGCACAGGCTAGAGGACACCAGAAATGGTTCAAAGGCGGAAGGTAACACCTCTTTTGGGTCCCAGTGCTCTACTGTAGAATGGGACAGGGCCTCTGAAATAAATTGCAAATAACAGTGAGCAATATTTATTAACGCACTTCTTCAGACATTAGAGATTCACAGATCTTCTGTGCAAGTACAGTCCTGCTGCTCACCTTGTAGTACAGTTTCAGCATGGCAAATTTACTTGGAACTTTTTCAAGAGGCAAACTTGGCCTCTGTTCTAAATAGTGCAGGTACAGGCGTTTGTAGTTTTCAGAGGACTGGATTATGGGATAAGAGACTATTCTAAGAATTTTTAGCAGATTTTAGCATATCATAGAAATTTGTATTTTAAAATTTAAGGATTTGAAAACAATTCTGAGGATTAAATTTTACAGAATTTTCAAATTTAATAATTCTAAATGAGAACAAAACATTCTGATAGTAATTAACAGGCTTTTCAGTATGTTTTTGTCTATGGCATTGCATTTTATTCTCAACATTAGATATGTTGTAGGATTAAGCTTCATGAATTTCAGCTTGTTTTAATCATCTGCGTAATCACTGAAGAGATGCACATACAAAAGACAATTCATTCCATCTTAAAGACAGCTGGTGTAAGTGGTTTTCTAACTGTGCTTATATTTGTAAAGTAACTAACTGTTGGGTGTCAAAAGTGAATGACCATGGAAAGTCATGCTGAGATTCACAAACAGGTCTGGCTTGTAAAACACAGATGTTGGATCTATTAAAATTGATGGGTATTCTCCCAGTTCAGGCACATTTTTACTCCTTACAAAAATGTAGAAATAAAACTATGGCTTTGCAGTCCTGTAAAAGTATTTATGGTGAAAAATACAGAACTTTACAAGCATGTGATTGTCTGTATTTAGTAACTGTTATTGTTGCTAAAAAACAAATTTGCATTTTATAGGTGCTCATGACTTTATCAGTGAATTTTGTATAACTGTTTTTACATTCAGTGGCCTTCAGACTCTCAAGGAACAGCTGCTAAGGAACATTCAGCAGGATCTCAGTTTGTAGGCTTGATCGCAGTTCTTATAGCATGCTTTTCTAGTGGATTTGCTGGGGTTTATTTTGAGAAAATTTTAAAGGAAACTAAGCAGTCTGTGTGGATCAGAAACATTCAGCTTGGTAAGTTTAATTTTAGTTGTCTTAGAAATACTGCATTCTGAGGAATTAAGATAAATAATTAAGAAAATGTATATATCCATATAAATTTAAAAAAATCACCAACACTTTAGTATTCTGCATAAATGAACTTTTAAAACTAAGAGTATAAACTCTGCTAGATAGAATTCTAGCAGTTGCTTTCTGATCTCAACTTAGTTCTTGATTTAACTTGGTCATAGAGTGTCTGGAAGTTTGTACAGATTTTGTCAATTGAATTTGTATTTAAAATTTTATAAAGAATGTTCTTATGCACGAGTCTGTGTATCCTCTGTGTTTAAAAATTACTGTCTTTTGCACTAGTTCATAAGATCTGATAAATATAAATAGCATTCCTTTTTCCTTTTTTTCCACCATTTTTTAGATAATATAGGAACATTAAAATATGTTTCTAAATCAATGTTTTGAGATGTTTTGAAATTAACATTTTTTTTCTTTTGTGTCTGTGTGAGCAGTTTTTATAGGTTGGCAGCTTTAATACAAAAAAAATGCTTTGTGAATAAAGTTGAGGTAATGAATTATTATGATTTCAGTACAAAGGCCAGTTTGTTTGTCTGTACAATCATGGAGAGAGGCATATGCAAAAGACAGTTAATCTTAACTATTTTAATGCCCTTACTTATTATGCATCTATCAGTAAGATAATACCTTCTATTTCCAAAATAGTTCTGGGTCTTCTAGACCCTAGATATTAATGGTGATAGAGTTGATCCATTTTCCTGAATGAGCTTTCCCTCACCTCAAAGCTATCTTTTCCAGTTTATAGGGTTGGAAATATGACATCTGCAATGTCTTTTTGTTCCCATTTTGCAACAGGAACAAAACTTACTGTTAGAGTTGTCCTTCTTTCTCTGATGGAGTCCCTCTAGTCTTCACCTGTAGGCAATAGTTATTTATTGTATATTTGAATAAATGCTTTCAGCAGAATTTGAACTTTGCAGCACCTTAGTACAGATTCTTGATCAAATCCATAGACTGTAGAATTAAGGCATGAAGATGATTTATTTAGTGGATTATGCTGTGCAATGAATCTGGTAGAATGTAATAAAGTACCATAAAAACAGGAGATGGTGTGTTCTTTTGTTATTAGATAGTTGGTCAAAAACTAGTATGGTCAAAAATGTCTCAACACCAGCAATATTTTTTCCTTTAATTTCCTGTTGCTGTGTTTTAATTATAAATGGTTATAAACACAGAACTGCGTTTTGATTATATTTTAATACTTAATCAAAATTTACATGTCCGTAATGGTTTGAAACTTGAGGACAGAGAAGGGGATCAAAACCTCCACTTACTGTCTGCTAGGATTTATTGAATTTGTGTGTATTAAAACTTAAGTTTTCTTGAACGGAGTGTAGGGGATTAGGAAAGGTTTATGTTGGGGAATTTTGGAGGCAGAGAAGGGTGGGTAGCTGGGGCTTGGTCCAGAATTTGAGGTAAGATTTGGTGCTCTGGATGGAGATGCAATGTAAAATCCATTGCCAAGGAAAGCTTATTGTTATTGCTCTCAATTTTCATGCTAGAAGTGCTTTGATGAGCAACAATGCAGGTATCTGTAACAATTTCCAATTAAACATTCATAATAGTTGAAAAATCAGTGATCTCTTCTAAGACATTCTTCAGATTTTTCTACAGTGCACAAAAGTATGTGTGAAAACAAATGAGTTTGCTAGTCTGATAGTTGGCATGCATATATTGAATGTTCTAGTAATTGCTGCAAACAGTGAGATCAGAACAGACTGCGTAAATAACTAGGACTGTGATATATGAAGACACAAATGTCTGTGATAATAGTTAGAATTGAATCACCTGATTTTTTTAATTTAATTTTTTGTCAGTGAGCTTAATTTGCCTCAATACAAAATCTAGTAGAATATGTTTACTATTAAGGTTTTTTTCAGTTCAAAAATGAAATGTTGTCATATTTCATAGAAGGCTTCCTGATACAGCTTTTAAAAAATATTTAAAACATGAAATCACAATTTCAAAAATACATTAGTGTATCCTTTCTGCAAGTGCAAGATTGTTGACTACTTACGACACTGTATCATTCAGGAGCAAGTCAGTCATAAGCAAGAGCTTTGAAACATCTTTTCTTGTTTCACACAAAGAACAAAAACCATAGGGCAAACCTGGTTTTCATTTTCATATCTATAGAGAATGATTAGAACTGTAGAAAAAAATTTTAAAATATATTAGAATGATTTTTGAAAAAAACAGTTTTTAATGCATACCAGTATTATATTAGGGATGTATGAATAGTTGATTTTATTTATTTTATCAAATCAATTGGAAAAGAGAATGGTTTAATCTGAATGAAACCTATAATTTTAATTACTACCAAAAAAATTATTTCTTGTCAAATGGAAGGTTTTATTTTGTTCAAAACAATGCCACCCTTTTCAGATGCAAAGGAATGAGATTAAAATAGAGGTCAGCTTTTGGCAGAAATAAAATAGAAAAAAATGTTCCCCCTTTCCTGCTCAGGACTAGAGCCTTCATCAGTCACAGAGCAGGTGCTTGTATTACTTCCATGCCTCAGGGGATTAGGAAGAGTTTCGCATCTGATAGAACATTATATGCACCAAATTATAAACTTTTTAATCTCATCTCAGTTTCTTTTTTTGACATTGTCTCCACTAGTAAACATTCATTGTATTTGAGACTGGAAGCAGGATTCTTCTGAGCCAAGATTCTTGTCTGAATTGGCAAACTGATTATGTCCTGCTCTCACTTATGTCACTGACCATCTCCTCCACTGAAAATTTTCCGTTTTTCTCTCCAGGTTATAGTGTGACTTCAGCCTTCAGTCATGGCTAGTTTCAGGAAAACTGAAATTATGTTTAAGTGAATTTTGCTATATGCCATCCCATTCCAGTAGAAAGCAATGGAAGATAAGTATATAAGAACATCCTAATGGAAACAGTCAAAACTTGTTATAAGTCTGGAAAACAGTTTTTAAAAGAGAATATCTGTCTGAACACTGATTGCATTTGAACACAACGGTATTGCAAGTAGCAGTCCTAGTTTGAAGTCAGATATATGTGAGCAGTCCTTGAGGACAAGGAACCTGTTCGCATGTTTTTCACCTGAAGTGTTTAAATCAATCTTGTACTTTCAGGATTTTTTGGTAGCATATTTGGACTGATGGGTGTATACATTTATGATGGAGAGCAACTGTCAAAGAATGGATTTTTTCAAGGATACAATAAACTTACTTGGATAGTTGTTGTTCTACAGGTGAGATACCTTGTATCACATGTTTCTGTGAAGGACTTGGGATTTACTCTTCTATAAATGACTGGGGAAACTAATGGGTGTCATTAAAGCTACTGAGAATTCTATAGTCAAAAGTCTGATCTGTCACTCTTAGACTAAACCTCTAAATAAAAACCTGGGAAATATGTAAGTATTGTGCAACATAAAAGCATGCAAGCATTATTTCTTTAACTTTTTTTTTTTAAAAAAAAAAAGCATCTTTCCTCCTCTGACTAAAAATGTGTAGTACAAGCATTTCCGCTAACTTAAAGATGGTAATATGATCAAGAATTTCTTTAATGGGAGAGAAGAACTCCAATGTTTATCTTCAGCAGTGCATATCCATAGCATAAACCAAATGTAATGCTCCTAAACACAGACCAAATCTTTTCCTAAAGTAAGTGCGTGTTAAAATAGATTCTCTCAGTGGAATTATCAGGTTGCAAATCAAAACCTCAATATTTTTCCAGGCACTTGGAGGACTGGTGATTGCTGCTGTTATAAAATATGCGGACAACATTTTAAAGGGATTTGCAACTTCTCTCTCTATTATACTGTCAACATTGATCTCCTATTTCTGGCTGCAAGATTTTGTCCCTACAAGGTAAGAAATATTTTCCATGTATGCTGAAAAAGAAAATAGTTGAAAACACTGCTTACCAGATATAACTGCAAAGCAATAAATAAAAAAAACAGTCGAAGCCACACTTTCAGAATATTTAGATACAACTGGCACACAAAAGTTTAGTTTCATAACGTACCATAACTAATGCTTAATTTTTAGAGTACAGTTGGCAAGATTCAGTTTTCTGTAAGATAGAGCCCTCCACAGGTCAGGAATTACTGAATCTCCAACCTTAGCTTTTGACGAACCACTCGCTCACAGGCTCCCTGTTTTACTTCACCGTCCCTTTCTCTTCATGCCCTCCACGCCCGACCTCGCTCCGTCCGGCCCTCAGCGCTCCGCACTGTGCGGAAGGCAGAGCCCCCCGCCCCGTCCCCGTGCTTGCCTGGCTCGGCGCTCCGAGCCAGCCTCCCCCCTGCTGGCTGCTGCCCGGCTCTCCTTTCTTCTTTGTCCTCTGAACTGACACATCTTCCCCAAGGCTCACCCCATCGCAAGAGGTGATACAGCTGAACAGTGATAATAGTTTTCATTCCATCTCAAAAACAGTCTCTAAAAGAGATGATTGCAGTCATACATGCATGGAAGTTACGCTACAGCAAGTAATTGCCCAAGGACACCCTGAAGCCCAAGAGCTGAGCTTATTTCTAAAGTCAACGCCACATTTATTAGTGAAAGCACTTGACCAAGAGTGAGAGAAAAATGCTTGCTATAGGCTTCAAGGCCCCAATACACTGTGTCTCAATGTTTTGTGAATCAGATTTTAGAAGCTCTGTGTGCTGCAGGTTTTGTACACGGGTAGGTTCTGGAATAGTGCTTGTCTTGACAGTGCATGTTAATAATATATGAGGTGTAGAAGTAATATTACAACTTTCAGATATATTAATAGGATTTTGCTTATAATTGACCTGCACTCCTCACATATGTTACACATACTCCTAGTGTAAAAATATTTTGAATAATATTACAGTTGTATCTGATGCAAAGAAATATCTTTTTATCTAAAAGTAGTATTTGCAACATTAGCAGGACTTAAACATTAAAAAAAGGAAGTAGAACAAGTTTTAGGCTTAAAAAGTGGAAGACATTGAGCTTAAATTTTAAAGCCTATGCTTGTCCTATTAAACATAGAAAGTGGTTTAAGATTTCTGTGTGCTCAAATGGAAAATTAATAAGTTACCAGCTTCTGCAAACATTGTGAAAATGGAAACATTGGTAAATAATTAAATGAGATTGATCTAACTAGCAGCAGGTAGAACTTGAAGCCTTCTCATTTAATAAAACTTGAGTTAATTTGAGTTAATCAGATTTAATCTTTAGTACCTTTCTTATGCCAACTGAATTTATTTGACCTGAAACTGTGTAATTGTTTCTGTCACTTCAACAAACATTTTTGATTGGGATAATAAATGCAAAGCACTTAAGTGCTTGAATGTGTTGCAATGGATTGTGTCCAGAAATAGGCTAACTGTATTCTCTGAAGGATTATCGTGTCATGCGCCACAGTTTTTTTAGCATTTGGTTCAGAAGATCAAATTGTCAACATTGTCATGTCTTTATGACAAGGTTCTTTTCTAAAATGTGTACTGATTGTATGTTGGCTTTGGAGATTTTGTTTCAGACTTGTAACTATCAAAACAACTTGAAAGGCCCATATGTCACAGTACAAAAGATGCCTTTATTATCTTTTCCTTACATAAATCTTTATGTATCTGCCAAAAATTCGATTATACTGACTTGCAAACTGGTTCTTGGGCAGCAGTAATTTGTTTTGACATAAGCTTTGAACTTCAAAGCAAGCACAACTCCAGTAACATGATGTACTTAAGATATTAAAAGTGCCTGGGTAACCACCGCAGTTGCACTTCTTTAGCTTCTGCTTGCATTTTGCACAGAACTTTAGGCAAAAGAAAAAAGAAAAGATTGGATTGGTCCGATTACTTTTGACAATTGTTCCATGAAACTATAATTTTAATTTTGAGAATGTCAGTATAATGATACATTACTTCATGGATGTAAGTTTCTTATTTCAACTTCTTCCTGCATCATTCTATAATAAATATATGCAAATTATGTTGTTCTTTATAAATTGGACAACATAATTTATCTATCTGTGTTCCCAGAGGAAAATTGTCTTTTCTTTTGGTTGTATTATGTAAATAAAATTGCATCACCTAAATTGAGCTAACTTTTTTTTTTAATCTCTATTCTATTCAGTGTCTTTTTCTTCGGAGCCGTCCTTGTAATAGCAGCTACTTTCCTATATGGTTATGATCCCAAACCTGCAGGAAATCCCATTAAGGCATAGCAAACTTCCTCATCGACCTGCTTCTCAAGATCATGCACTGGGGGCCTTGCTAACAATGGCATGTGGAAAGTGTCATTGTGCACTGCAAGGAAAGGATTACTATTCTGAATCTATTGAAGAAATGCTTACAAGTAGTTTTGAACAGGCAGAGGGGTTAAAGGTGGATGATGATACTGTCTGTAATCAATGAAAAAAAAAAAAATGGCAGGGGAATGCCCAGTGCAAGTTGCTAATAAAAACTTGAAAGGAACAAAAAGTTTCCAAGAAACTGCAATTAGGAATGTTTACAGCTTTGCTGGGATTGCATCAAAAGAATTTACTGTATTGACTGCTGCAGAAATATGTCCTATGCACTCTTTGAAAGAGCACATGACAACACTGTCAGATTGTATGTTTTTGCAATTTGACTATATTTAATCTTAGTAAATATGTTTTTAACTGTTTGTCTATTTACATGGAATCAGTTGAATACACATCATAGTTCTAAAGTGATGGTTCTAATTAGGTATTCCTTATTAAAGCTGTGAAGATTGACATATGATTGACACTTTCACAATATCAAATATTTTTCTATTTTTAAAGACTGATTTAATAACAAATCTGTTATTAAATTATAGTATTATAATTCTGTTGCTTATAGAAAACTATTGTAAGAATGTTAGCATTCTCACCTAAGTACACAAAGGGAGAAATTCAGAGTGAAATCTCGAAATCTGTGTTGATACTCCAGCCTTCATCAGGATAGCCTGTAGTGTTCCAACAGATGCAGTAATTCTGTGAACACAGGCCAGAAGTTACTGCACTAACTCAGCACTAAGAGTAGGGTTAAGGTGGGGTGCTCACTTGGATGTAATGTTCATTCTTTTTATTTTTATTTGTTATAAATCAACTTTTTGGTAGAATCTTAAAAGTAGTTTTTATGCTTTAAATATCCTCTGGGGATTTTTTTAACCACAATTTTAAAAAAAAAAAAAGCGCATAATAAACATTTTAAATGCGTTATTGTCTACAACAGCTCCATCTGGTGCTGTTATGGTATATCATCTATATACTGTACTGTTTTTTTAAACAAGTGTTGTTTATTCATGAGCTCACCAAGTCTTTTTCAGTACATTTCTATGTAATGACTTAATTAGAGATTTTTTTTAAATTATTATTATTATTTTGTTCTGGGAGTCTTTGAGCCAACAGACCAAAATGGGTTCTCTGGAACTATTCAGTCTAGTAGTGGAATTAATTTAATAGGAGACGTAATTAAACTAATTAATTGTGCAATAGGTAAATGTAAAAGCATGCTGTTCTTCTGTTTTAAACCAAAAAAAAAAAAACCTTTACAAAGAAACCTAGATGCAATTAAAACTTAGATCGGTTAGACTGTTACAAACACTTGTTGAAGTATTTGCATATAGCCAGAAACACCCCCCAAAAGAATGTCAGACTAATAAACAAAAAAAAACTCTCTTAAAAATCACTTGATTTCTGGAAATGTATTCACAGTGGGTATCAATGTAGAGTCACTTCTTATCCACGTTACCTTCTAAAGGTATGCATTTATACCAAAACATATCAATAGTCCCATATCTGTAGAATGGCAAGTGGTAAAAATATATTATTTCCTTTCCCCTCCACACCCCCCTCTCTCTTTCTCTCTTCTGTCTTGTGCTAATGAACACATTGTGAAAAGAGAGGTTTTTTAAAATGTTTACCAAAGTACCTCATCCTCTTCTCCACATTTTAGTGGGGGATTGACAAGGAGAGTGTGTAATAGTGCTCTGAGATTTTTGAATGAAGTATCGGAAATGGAAAAGGAACAATTCCACTTATGTCAGCCAAGTAAAAATTGTGTCTTCCTTCTGTTGGCAGTGACATGGATTGTGAACTTTTTGTTTGTTTATCGTATCAGAGCAAGACATTAAATAAATTTCAGAGTTATGCTAAGGGCTTGCTAAGCATTGTGAACTGTGAATCTATCCCAGCATGCAATAATTGCAAGAGCTCTGCTACTTGGTGGTCAAAACTATCATGTATTACCTTAAATTGGCATTCTGTGTTGATATTAAACCTTCTATGTATAGCACTCAATGTGGCAAAGTCTTTGAAAAAGTACATTTAGTAATTTCACCACTGAAGTACAGCATGAGGTAAGAGTATGCATAGAAAAGTGGCTTGAAGCATTTCTTATTGTAGATTGGAAAGTACATGATTCTGAAATTATCTGAGAAGCGTTGGTAGTAATATCCGAATTGGAGTTTGGCCTACACAATAATACGTTTAATTTCATGAATCACGGGAGTGAAAATGTTCGGATGATATAATTGGTTACTTCCTTGAGGAATTTCTCAAGCAGGTTCAGAACGCTTTCAAGCCCATTGCAGAGGAAGGGACCAAAGAGGCCCAATAATCACCACATTGCTGGAGTTCTCTTACGTATACCCCAGTTTTAATACTTTGGGTGTACCTGTCAGTATTTGTCAGTAAAGATCAGTTTAAAGGAAAGAACAGGAATATGTGCTCTTTGCTGTTGAATAGGATGTCATACGGCTTTGGAAAACAATGTTTATCTACTGTACTAAGGAACAGTAACTCCTGTCTGTAGGTTAGTGACTCTTCCGTGCTTTCAATTGACAGTTCTGTTAAATTTGCTGCTAGAGGGATAGATCTATCCCTACACTTGTTGCTGTAAAGGAAATAGGAATTTGCATTTTGAGCTGTCTTTCCTTGGCCCTTCATCAGGCTCAGGAAATACTCGTCTGAAGTCCTCCAGGTTGAAAAGCATTATTCTAGACAGAGGGAAGACAGCATAAGTTTCTTGCGAACAGAAAGGATTTGGGGAGGGTTTACTGTTTTCTGTAACCTTTGCAATCTGAGGGCATATGCACATTTTCTCATACTTTTGTATCTGGATTTTAAAATTAAAAAAAAAGGGGGGGGGGCAACCAAAACAACCCAGTTTTACGTCTATAACTCATTAACTAACCAAAGAAGCATACCTAGCACAGAGCGTTGGGAAGTAGGGGATAGTGTGCTTTGAGTTTGCCCCAAAAGCAATCTATGGAAGTCTTAACTTTACAAAAATAAACCTGGCTCTTTGAACTATTTTTCTGACTTTTAGACAATGGATTTGTTAGTATAGTTTATATTTAGGAGGCTAACCTATACTTAGAATTATATTTAAGTATTTATAAAGTTATAGCTAGGTATTTATTTGCGGTAATTTGATTTATTTTATTTTTTTTTTTTTTTTTTAAAAAAAAAGACCAAACTTGCATAATGGGTGTACTAGTATTTATTGAATACTTGGGTATTTGGTAGTTTTACTTGAGAATCTTTGTGATACATGATAAACGGTGAAATAATAATTGTAGAACTATCTTCAAAACAATAAATCAGTAGTTCAGTGGTAAAAAATCTTGAGTCTAATAAAGTAAGATAAACTTTTCTTTTAAACATTCTATTTCTGTGCCAAATAACCTTTTTTCTCAAATAATTCAGATAAGTTTATAGTTCTGTTCAACTACTTTTGTCTTAGACAAATTATAAGAAAACTTCCCTTTTTGTTTGTTTTCATAATGGGTAGATTAATGTTCTAGATCCAGCTTCTACAAGTTGATACCTTGGGGTTTTTACTGTAACTTTTTAGAAATTCTTGTCTTATTTTTCCTCAGAAAAACTGTGTTACTTTGGTAGCATATACTTGCATTTCAGTTACTCATACAGTCTTCTCAGATTTTTAGAAGTACACAATTGTTCTGTGTTCCTACCTTATTTTTATGGCTGTAATTCAAAAGATTGTAATGGATTTTGTTAAATTCGTTTAAAATTGTTAAATGGAATGTTGCATTTCTTCTAGTTTTTGTTGTCAGTAACTTTCATCTTTTAATTTATTTCCTTATCAGCTGTGCATGTTCTGTTGTATTTAAGCAATCATCGTTTTCCAAATTTGAAGTTGCTCATTTTCTTCCTGTTGACAGCGTTTCTTTCTGGGTATTGTCAATGAGGAAAGTTATTCATTCTTTTCTTCTCTGAAAAACCCATTTTGTAAGAATGAGATATTAAAAAACATTATGGATATTTTTGTGTATTAGAAAGGTAATGTTTATCTAGAACATGGTATTATACCATATATGTGGTAGTGTATCATTACCTATGGTATTCAGTTACTGTAAGAAAGTGCAAGAACTGTTTCCTTGCCTTTGTTTTCATTGTTCTGTTCATTTTTAATGTTGATTATTTTCCACAGGAAGTTACTAAACAGTTCCACTCTTTCCAGGTAAGCTCCTTATATGTTTTTAGATATCTAGAATTAAGATATTTTTACTGGGAAAAATGAAGGGGAAAATAAAATAAGTCAGATTAATTAGGTAATACCTTCTGCTCTGGATACTGTGAATCCAAATTTCTATTCAGTTGCATTTATATATTTTTCTAATTATTTCCCACTAGGTGAATTTATAACTCTTTTCAGAAGGAAAAAAAAAAAATCTGTCCTGAGGTGCTGTTCAATGCTCATTCTTGAATGTCTGCTGCACACACATTTGCATCCAAGTGTAGACATGACATTTTTAACTCTTGCTTTACATCTTCCATCATCATTCTGACATAGATATGCCATATTAATTTCATTAGCAATTTATAGCACAGTAAAAATTGCTTATATGCTAAGCATATGTCTATATTTGCTGTCATTAGTAACTTTTTTATTTTTTTAAAGTTTGTCTCTATTGTGAATATATTTTTAATTTAATTTTAAATATATGAGCCCAAATATAAATCAGATAGTGAAACATCGTAGCAAAATTTTTAAGGTAGTCTTAGGAGTTTTTATACATTGATATTTCTGTGTCATTACACTGAATACAATTCTAATATATGGTGTTACCAGGCAGTTTGGAAACGGGGGTTTTTTGGTATAGCACTGCTGAACCATGGGATGCATCTTAATAATACAGTCTTTTTTTTTAATCCAAACTGAAGTAAAATACTTTTTTTTTTCTCTTGTGTGTGTAGATAATGTCACTATAGTAATAAACTGGTTAAAATAAGCACTGGCTTTATTAAGAATATGATATAAAACTGTTTGAGAGCTTTGTAAATGGAGGGACTTGCCTTATGCATATTTTAGCAGAAATAAAACTATGTTTTAATTAACATTTATTATTTCAGAACATAATTTTTGTCATAATTTACTATAAACTCCAGAAGGCTACCATAAGATATTTGCTAATGCTGTTTTTTAACATACAGCTTACTGAATTTGGCCAGAAATTTAATTTTGACTGAGACATGCTTCTTTTTGACTACTGTCTTACGACTTCTTGTGAATCGCATTCCAGCAGCATTCTTGTGACTCTGTGTCTGCACTCTTCTGGTCGGCAAACCCTGATCTTGTTCAGGGCTGCGTCTCCTGAATGGGAGGTAGTAGGGAGCATTTGGGTATCAAGTACCTCGTTATACTATGGTGTGTGTTTGTAAAACAGTCATCATTTGTAGAAGAGTTTTTGCCACAAGTTATCAGGAGGCAGCTGGTGCTTCAGTAGCTTTTTTTCCCCCCTGTTGTAAACATTTAATTTTGATAGCAGTGGAAAGTACTGTACAATATACCTTCTAGAATACAGCATAGTCCATTGATTCATGTTACAATTCAGAACCTCAGGTTTTGTGTAGCTATAATTTGCAATATATCAAAGTCCTGAACAGAGTTCACAAACACATTGCTGCAGATGGTAGATAACATGTTTCCCTGTCCTTTCCAGAGATACATAGAATAAAATCAGGTCATTCCACCAGCTATGTATGCAGCAATAATTTTCAGGACTCTTAATTTCTGTCAGTTCTTTTGGTCAATTTTGCTCTGATCTTAATGATCATATGCATCATGATTTAAACTGAAATTTTAAGGCATTTAGGCAACAGAAATGAATTATTCGTCAGCTAACCAGAGGAGCATAGCTCGTACAGAGTACTGGGAGGCAGGGGACAGTGTTCTTTGAGTTTGACCTAAAAGCAATCTGTAGGAGTCTTACCTGAAACCACTGAAACTGTTGTCTGTCTGTGCTGCACAATCAAAGGTTTCCCTTGAGATGATAAGTACTCTGACCATTTTCATGCCGCTTCCAAAACCAAGGTAGTATCTTCTACAGCTAACAGGTAGTATTCAGCATTTACTTTGTATGGAAGGTTGAACACTACAGGTGTTTAGATGTAACAGACGTATTTTGTTTCTCTTCTTCAGGAGATTAAATGTCAGGAATTTGTCTCTCATTTAAATAATGGCAGAGCGGATTATGTCAGGACTGATGTGGGTAAGTGGAGTTTGATATTTGAAAATGTGTAGCTGGCTGAAATTCATGACAGCAAAAGCAAGTCATATCTATCTAGAGTTTTTTCTGATGTTAGGAATTCTTACTTTTGAATCATGTGCTCAGCCTACATGAGCAAACTTGATATTTAAGATTAACTTATTTTGGGATAATGACATCAATAATGGGGGTTGGTCTATTATGAAGGTGTAATCAGTCTAGTTACAAAATATCTTTGCTGACATGTAGTTGTGTTAACTTTTTTCGTGAGTTCCTTACATGTCTGTGTGTGACACACCAAAATGTAACAGCACTCTCCAGGGAGCAGACTTGACACCATGGCAAAGTTTTAGGACCCCTTTCCTTTTCAGATAGGAGTGGAAGACCCTGGAGCATACTGCAATTGTCACATACTTGGCATAACTTATTAAGACTTGCAAAAAATGACAGATAATAACAATGGCTGCAAACATCCTTTTTCCCCTATGGGTAGCCCTGTGGATCCACACTTTGTGTCATGAGCTGGAGTCTACTTGTCTTTGTCTCACTGGGAGACCAGAGTAGATCCATTGGCCTGAGTAGGGCTGTGCTTTGTGAAATTCTAAGTTCCTGAAAAGCTGCATTATGGTAAGGTAAGAAAGTGCTTGGTCTTCAGGCTAATAGTTTAACTTAAGCCCACATGATCCTAAGTAGTGAGTGATTTACACCCCTTTGTTAACATAGTGGTGTCTGTGCTGTAAAGGGAGCTAGAATGAACCATAGCACCCACTGTTTGTATGGACAGAGAAGATGTTAATGTGCAGCTGCAGTTTGGGGGGAAACAGGGATGTTGCAGGAGCTGGGATGATAGGGATATGCAGTAAGAGGGCTTGGAAGATTGGAGGACTGAGTGAATAAGAATGTAGAGAAAAGACTGGTGTGTGGATATGGCCATGGAGAGCTGTGCCTGAAATCGTGAATGTAATAGTACTGGATGTGGAGAGATCTTGCTCTGTTTAATGCTGCTAGACATTAGTGGTGAAGGAATTTAAACTACAAGCCACAGAATAATAATAGTACATGTTTCTAAAATACTTTTTTCGCTAAGAGGTATGGTGCTTTAGGAAAGCTGGTCCCTGTTGTCTTATTACCTGCAGGTGGTGTGGTAAATAAGAACCTGAAATGGCCTGCCTGTTTAAAGTTGTTAGTAAATTCAAAACTTGAGTGTAAGAAAGCAGGCCAAGTTGGATTTTTAGATAAATTGCAACTGTGGTTGTGTACTTTGGCTCTAGAAATGTCTTTTGACGTTTAATAGGTGTATCCGGTAAGAACTACCTCTTCGTGCTCCTTTTTTCCAGGCCCCGCAGGCAGCTCGCACGGGCTGGGCTCTCTGGCGGGGTTTCTGTTTCTTTTATGCTGCGGGTTGCTGCAGCCCCGGTAGCTTCGTTCCGGCATCACGGGCTGGTTTCCTTGAGGCAATTGGCCGAGAAGCACCTGTAAGAGTGTCACGCTACTTCGGGGCGTCTTCGTCAATGCTTCGTCAGTCTCAGTGTGGGCCGATTTTTAGGGCTCAGGAGTAAGCGTCGTCTCGGGAGTTCGGTACAGGGAGCGGAGCTGCGGATCGCTTCTGTTTGTCTGAAATCAGGCGGTACGTGTCAGTGGGTCTTTGCGGAAGGCAGCTGTGTGCTGGGGAGCAGCAGTTGGCTGCACAATAGCCCAGGACGGTGCGGGCCGGACCCTCGGCCGTTGTCAAGGAAGGCAGGAAGCGGTGTGTGGCGGGGATGCGGTTCTGTCGGCGGGGCGAAGCCCGGCTGGGCTGGGCTGGGCTGGGCTTTGCCATCCAGCAGCCTTCTGCCAGCCGTGCCCGCAGCCTGAGAGGAATACTCAGTGGGACAGACTCGAGCTTCGGAGAAGTCATGTAAAGGCTGCCTGGAAGAAGTGTTTTGTGGTTCCCTCCCACTGTCTTGCTTCCTCTTACATACATAAATTTTACAAAAGGAAGGAAGCTGTTACGTGTTTTGGCTGTTGGATTTTTATGTTATTTTTTTTAATTGATGAGTAGCATTGCTTCCACTGTGTCATTGCCCCTGGATTTTTTCCACTGTATAACATTGTGTAGCTTTGATGTAGCATCTAAATACAGTATAATTATTTCAAATAAAGAGATGTCTTGACAGACTAAATCACTGGTGGCCCTTCAGTTTGTCTTTTTGGAACAGAAATGGAGAAGAGGGAAGTGTCAAAGTCACTATAGTTTTCATTGAACTGGTGACCAGCTGTCTGAATTGCTTAGTGCTAAGAAGCAAAACTAATTCCATTGGTGGATGCTGATGTTTTTCAGGACATGTTTACCTGCTCTTTGTAAAGATAAAAATGTATGAGATTACTTTGCACAAATGTTAAATGTGAATATGTTAGAATGAGTGATAGAGGCAGAGTAAATGTTACTCATGGGAATGGTGCTTCAGAATTTTGCTCTGGAGTAGTCATTGATTAAAATACAATATACTCCCAAGTGTCCTTTATCTCTCAACTTTAACTTTGTTTAGCCAAGAGAGGAGAAAGATTATAAAAACTGCACAGTGATACTTATGGTGCTGCATTCAGTGTCTCCCACCAGTTTCAAAAGCCAAGTGTAAACTTGCATGAGTACTATATGATTTTCAGCTGCTTTTAAAACAGTGGAAAAATGGGCTATAAACATTAGATGAAGGTATGTAGATTGTTGTTAGATAACAAAAATACCAGCTTGTGATAATTTCTGCCTTCAAATGTTTTGAGATTTATTTTAAATACATATTTGAAGTTATGAAGTCTGGTGTAGCAGAGTATTCTTTTTAATGACAGCAAAAATTTTAAGCTTGAATATATTTAAAAAAAAAAAAATGTTTGCTGAAATTTTAATTAGCCTTCTGTCCTCAGTCTCCTTAGTTTCTTTGCTTATCTAACTATGTGACCTTATGGGAAACAGGTACATGAAAATGGCACACGTCTTGAATGTCTCCAACTGGCAAACCAGTAATTAATCAAATCATCTAAGTGTAGTTTCCAGACCAGTTGGTTTGTTTTGAAACTGTTTGACATCAAACAAAACTGTGTGACTCTCTTTTGCCATCAAGAATATGCAGTTTACTGATGAGGACCTTCAGTCAATTTAATTTATTGTCACTTCTAATCACTGATTCTGATGCGGAAAGGAAAAAAGCAAAAGGGAAAAACCATGCATTGCTTCTGCAAAGCCTCTCCTCCCACCACAGGTTACGCTGGGTCCCCTTGGCAAGGTGGTGGGTGGTGCAGGAGCTTGGGCTTGTGAATGGTGATATTTTTGTGCTGTTCTCTTTGCAGCTTAGTATCAGTATCACAGAAAAAATTGTGTAATTGTTTGTGTCCTCGTGTATTGTCAGATTCACCAAAGGAGAGGCAGTAACACCAGTGAAGTGGTTTCAACGCTGTTCTTAATTTTGCCTTCCTGTATGAGCAGTGGGGGTTCATCTTATGTGCGATTATGCTTTCTTGAAGCAACTAAATTAGGAGGTGCATGCCTGGGCAGTGCTGGAGAGAGTTAGAGCTTTGTACTTGATTTTGTGCCTTTTCCTTTCCAGCAGAGGAGCAGTAGCTGTGATCTTACATCTGATACCTTTGTTACTTTGAGAGTTACTCTGTTGTTGTCAGATGTGTGTTCTTAGGGTTGCCTGGCACAGACACTTTTTATCACTGGCATGACTGACTACAAAGTGTTTGTTTAAATGCGTTTTCTCTCTAATTAGAGCAAGGGGCATTCTTGGAGCGCTGTTTTGTGACACAGATTTTGCCAAACATACATGTGCTCTGGTCTGCCTACATGGTTGCAGAGAAGGGTTACACTGATTGGAACATCTCAGTTGCAGGTTGTTCGCACAGAAGCTCCATATCTTATCTCCAGGTGTCACTTAGATGATTACATTACACTACACTACGTTAGCCATTTTGTAAAGCACAGCGGGACAGGTGTGTAGAGTAACACAAGGCTGAATACCCAACGCCTGCTCTGTGTGTGTTGGGGAAGGATGGTACATCAGACTACTACTTCAGTCTTGTGGACTGAAGGCGCATAATACATATTAATGAACTGTAATGTACCCACTTATTAATCTCCTTCCCTCTTTCTTCCATCTCAGGAGTAGTTTTGCTACTTTATAGTTGCAGTTATCTTTAAAAATAGCTATAGAAGTTATGATCTAAATGTGACTAAATTACTTTTTTTTTATAGATAAGAACAACTAACAGTATCTGTGATAAGGGAGCATTAGCAACAAAGAAAGCAAGGAAGTTTAACCCTAGTGATCTAAATGTGACTTCTGTTTGTTTCTGCCAGTGTAATGGAAACATCTGATTGGGTTGCTTACAGCTGGGTGACAAGGCAGAGGGCATCAGCCACCCACTTGGGTGCCTCTGAAATCACCATCAGTTTAGCTGTGCAGAACAGCCATGGATTTCATTCTGCTGTTTTGGTTTGTGCCTGTGATCTCAGAGTAGCTGCCCAGAACTGGACATGGGCAGCAGAGACAGACAGATGGCTGCTGAGCTTGTGCTTGCTGTATGTGAACAGGATGGAGCTGCTTTTGTCCCATGTTGTGTGGAGGGACAGGGGCGGTGACTCCTACCTCACCAGCCACAATACCTTGGGGGGGACAGGAGTCCAGGGACCATGAGAATGAATCCAATTTCCTGTATCAGACTGAGCTAAACAAGGTAAGAGTGTTATTTAGAGTTTGTGCAGAGCTGGATACCCAAAACTAAAAGGGTTGTGGGTGGAAAGGGAAAAAAGGAATTGTGGGAAGTGAAGAATACCCACTTTCTGTACCTATAAACACTGTTAATTTACCACCTGAAGAGAATAGGCTGAAAAAAACAGCAGAAGTATCTGTATCGTACATCTGTATTTACTGAATATGGGGCTTGGGAAAGAGAAACAGCACAGTGCTGTGATACTTTTGTAGTATTGACTTGGTTACTTCTGAAAATTATGATCTTTTCTAGCAGTAGGGGTGAATGGCCAGTGTGGTTTTCAGTATTATTTCCTACAGTTGTTCAAAAGGCTTTTTTTTTTTTTCCTGCACTGGCAATGCTGGAATCTGGACAGAAAAGCTAGGTGTGAGTTGCATAAATCTTGTGACAAAAGCAAGCCTAGTATTACCTAACTGATACTTAAAACTGTGTGGTATTGGAGGTGGGAAGGCACCTCTGAACATCTCTAAACCCACTTACTCACTCTTCCCTCACACAGGGTCAGCTGGAGCAGTTTGATCAGGGCTGTCGGGTTTGAGTGGATGGAGATTCAACAACGTGACCAGGCAGCCTGTTTCCAGGGGGTTGTTTTGTTCCAGGTTTCAGTAGAATTTCCTGTATTTGTGTGCGCCTCCAGTCCTGTCACTGATGCCTCTGAGAAGAGTCTGGCTGTGTCGTCTTTACTTCCTCCCACCAGATGTTTATACACGTTGATGGGATCCCCTTGAGCCTTCTCAAGAAGCAGCTGAGGACTTTGGCCCGCTAGTGTTTGCTTAGTATAAATGCTAGGTTCAATCAGATCAGTGCCAGTCTTAGTAACTCGCCTTCACACAAAGTTGGGGGAAAGTGGATGTTCAGGCAGCACTTCGGAGCTTAAGGAATGCATATGAGATTTCTGATGAGTTATTCACACTACCTTCATATGGAAATAATTAGTGCACCGTTTCCTCAATTTGCAAATGATGAACTGTGGCATGTTGTTTAACAGGGTAGCATACACAGAGTATACGAGATGAGCAGGTTGTCCCACCCGTGCTCTTTTTGTTCTCCTCAAAAGCTACTTCTGGTTATACTAAAATCACCACAGAATTTGAAGTTCCTTATTTTAAATCTTTTATCTAGTTCTCTTCCTACATTTGAAGCATGTTGTAGCTAACAGGCCTGCTCTCAGTATTTGGAAATCAATCAGTGCTGTTCCTAAGATTCACTTCTGGCGTTCACTATTTCCGTTTTTCTTTCCTGTTTAGAGCTATCAAAGTTCTGTATGTAGCCATGGTGCCTTTTAGTAACAGAAGTACTATAAAGTGGTTTGATCAACCAGGTGATTAGTCTTTGGGATAGCCAAGTGTGAACACTGCCATGTTTGAAATGACAAAAACTAGATTTCCATGCAGCATTGTGTGGCGTTAAGGATTTTTCTCAAGGAAAAGGAACTAATTCTCCAAAGAGTCTGTTTCTGCTTTCAGCAGCATCCTTGTTTCCCAGACTAGCAGTATAAGTGCCTTGTTTTTCAATGTGAGATGGGAGTGCACTTTGTATTCTGCAGAGGATTAAGACACTTCAAGATTAGCAGCAAGGGGTTAAAAAAGGAATTTTTCCTCAGTACCACTTAGCTGGAGTAACTATTCCATTGTTTTGAGTCCTGCTTTATTCCTTAATCCTTCTGTTCATAGTGTTCAGACGCATTTCTCATGACTGTGATAGACTGTTTGATGTTTTAATCACCTGGGTATTTTCCTCTTGTTTTAGCCTCAAGGAATAGGTTCACCTAGTGTCTACCACGCTGTTATAGTGATCTTCTTGGAGTTTTTTGCTTGGGGACTCCTGACAGCACCCACTCTGGTGGTAAGTGAACTTAAGCTTTTTCTGTCTGCATCAGAGACAGGGTAATTAGTGCAAAGGCACTGAACACTTCTGAATTAAATGAAAATTACATATAGTTGAGCTGCTTTGTTGTGCAAGTGAAGTTTTGCAGTTTTATTACATGGAATCAGGTATTTAAAATTATTTCATTAAAGCAGCATAATGATGCAGCATAGCTGTTTATGTGCAGGTCTGCTAACAGTCAAGCTTACATGTAAATATTTTCTGACTTGAAAGAAGTAAGACAGTAATGAAATTCTTTCCTTTTAAGATGCTACAAGAAGTTGGCATGTTACAAATGTAAGGAGAAAAATACACTTGAAGTTCAGTAAAATTATGCAAGCGTGTGTGTGTAGGTAGGGGGATCTTAGCTGACCTGGCTGTACTTTAAGGAGAAGCTTCAGAGCACAGACCCTGTTACACCAGTCAGAGAGAGAGTGTGATTAGTGAAACAGTCATGCCAATGTGTTTGTACCAAATTATTTTCTAATCTGCTTGGTTGCTTTCCATTTGGATTTAATCTTTGAGAGTGACATATGCTTACAAATTAAAAGGAGTGAAGGCTTAAAGGTCTCCTAGCAGACTCCACCTAAACTCAGTCTTGGTGTGTCTCTGTAAACCGATGGCAACCATGAACAGTCTCTTGGCTAAACTGCACACCAGTCACCGAGTGGAATCCATATCACGCAACACAAGTCAGACTGAGAGGTGCTGGTTTTAACCTGCATATCTGGGCTCTGGCCACCCAGCAGAGGCACCTTAGAATGAGCTCTGTCTCCTCTCTCTCCCCAGTCTCCTCCAGATAACACAATAACATGGGGAGAGTCTGGTCTGAGATCATTTCTAGGCTCTCTGGTCTATTTAGATTTCAGACACTGAAGTTGAATGACAAGAATCCTTCTCAGAGTGTTGAGAGAACCAAGGCCTTTATCAAGTAAAGCCGAAATCTCAAAGTATCTTGCATGTGAATTAAAGATTAAGTAGATTATTTGTGGTGTCTTTTTTTTTTTTCTTCTATATTCTATAAAAATACAAAACTACTGTGGGTGCGCCACTGTAGAATTTGGATGCATAATGAACAATGTTTGTAGTTAATATTGTATAAATGACAGTGTTTGTACTTCTTCTCCAGGTTTTGCATGAAACCTTCCCAAAACACACATTTCTAATGAATGGTCTAATTCAAGGAGTAAAGGTAAGGTGACAAAAGTTAATCACAAGTACAAATCAAGAGTGAATGGTGGGAGGAACATGGAAATTACTGCCAGTTGAGAAAAACAGTTGCAAGGGTTTTCAATGTAGCTTTCGTGGTATAAATGAAACGGGAATAAATTACTGCTAAAAAAGCAAATTTGCGTTAATTTTACTTTTAGTAAGACACTGCGATACACATTTGAGAATTTTTTACTTGGAGCTTGTTGCTCCAGTAGGATATTTTCAGTTACTTAGATTTATGTGAATTCTAAATATGTAAAACTATAAAAAACAGTTCATTAAACAGCTGGTATGACTGGATCATCTGCATTTTGAATTTTGTGTAGCTCTGAGGTAATAAATCTTGAATTGTATGTAAGCAGACATGGGCTAGAAGATCAGTAATGCCTGGCCATATTGCCTTTGGTTCGTTGCACAATAGTCATCCACTTCAGTAAAAACAGAGCCCAGCTGCTGTTAGGTTGCGGTGTGGTCAGCTGTTGCGATTCTAACCTGAAGTGTTTTGTTTCATTTAGGGCTTGTTATCGTTCCTCAGTGCCCCGCTCATAGGTGCCCTGTCTGATGTGTGGGGACGGAAGTCCTTCTTGCTGCTAACAGTATTTTTCACCTGTGCACCAATACCACTTATGAAGATCAGCCCATGGTTAGTAAATTCTTTCACACTAGATTTGCCATTTTTCGTCAGGGTTGCTATACAGTGCTTATGTTTGTTGCATTGCTGATAAAATACTGCCTGTGCTCTGTGGAAGGTTGAGGCTTCTGTAGGACTTCGGTGCAAAGTTGGGTGAACAGTGTCAAACTGAAGTAGCTGCCACGAGGCCATATGCCTTAGTCAGAACTTTAGGAGCTGCTGGTGTTGAGCCCTGTGCTGTAGGCCACACCTCCTACTTCAGCACGTTTGCCAGAGATACTAGACAGCTCTCCGATCAACCATGCAGTCTCTACTGAGACTAACCTGCTCTGCAGAGATGAAAACCTTACCTATGCTACCTAGTGCATGAACAACCATTTGTAGCCAAAATGTTGCTGCGGTTTTATCCTTTTGTTTCTCAAGTTTTAAAATCCACCAGCTTTCACACAGTGTGCAAGTCAGTAAGCTCTTAGCTGGCATGTACATTCCCCAGGCAGGGCATGAGACAGTTCCCCATGGGGTTGTGCTACCAGTGTGCTGTACCCAAGGGTGTTGCTGAAATAAGATGGGCTGTGCTGATGCCAGCGGTTCAGGTACTGCCCTGAGCCTTCTCAGTTTCCTCTCCTGTCACACAGATGTACTTGGATTGTAAGTAGAGAATTCTTGTTTCTCTTTAGCTGTTCTAATTTTTTTATAACATTCTTAGGTGGTACTTTGCTGTTATCTCTGTCTCTGGAGTTTTTGCGGTGACATTTTCTGTGGTTTTTGCGTATGTAGCAGACATAACCCAAGAACATGAGAGAAGCATGGCCTATGGTTTGGTATGTATTTCTCTGGCTCTATTCTTGTCACGTTCAGTACTAAACTCTTTAGTAGGGAATTCAAATCTGTATCTGTTTCTCCTGTGGCAAGTTGATTTTTGAGTAGGGTTTTTCTCTTTCATTGTTCTTGTCACCCAGTCCTGTCTCTCTTGCATATTCTGCTTCTAACTTAAAATATGACCATGTTAAAAGCTGCCTTTCAGATGTCTGTCCTATCAGTGTTAATGATGTAATTTGAGGGACTTTAGTTATTCATCCATTGTTTTTCACACTAGTACTACTTTGTCATCTTTTCAAAAATCTAACCTCTTGTTCCTGGGTAACTTTGGAGCTGCCATGGCGTGATACCCTGACTACTCCTGCTCGCAGCTCCAGCCACAGTGCTGCGCTTCAGTTCAGAACAAATATAGGCGAGGAACTTCTCTGTCTGAAGCTTGTACAGCTTGTCTCTGTTCCTTTGTTATCTCCCAATAAGCTGCCAGGTCTCAGGAGCCTTCACAGTCCTGTGTATTGTGGATTAGCAGAATTATTTTTTACATTCAGGTTACAGAATCCGTTATCATATTCAGCAGGAAGAGCTGAAGGCAGTGGCTATGGAACCAAATCATTTCTCTTCACCTGTACACGTCAGGGATTGAGATATGTTGAGAAAGTTCCTTCAGTTCTAAAGTTAATGTCTTTCACAACAAGGCCAGCTGCTCAACTGGAAACTACTTCCTGAAGATCCGTTGTACTGAGTTAGATTAACCATCTCATTAAATTTAATATACCCTTGATACATAGGATTTTTTTCTTAACAGGCATTGCCTGTTTCACTAATACAAAGATAAATACAGCTTGGCACTTCCCAGAGATATCAGCAGACCATGTAGTTAAACCTAATTATGTTAGTACCTTCAAGAGTCCTGTGAGCCTCACATTGCTGTCCAGCTATCATTTAAAAATAATTTTTTTCTTGAAAAATTTTGACTGTCTGAAATACCCAGCTGCTACCACATAGTCACAGAAAACGGATTAATCTCTACCTGATCAAAATGGTTAGGCTTCTGAAAACGAGAAGCAGGTAATAATACTGCTGACTTACCTCCCGGTTTATCTTACCAGCTGTTCCTTGTTCTAGGTTTCAGCAACTTTTGCGGCAAGTTTAGTGACCAGCCCTGCTATTGGTGCCTATCTTGGTCGAGTCTACGGAGACAGCCTGGTTGTGGTCCTGGCTACAGCAATAGCCTTGTTAGACATTTGTTTTATTCTTGTTGCTGTACCAGAATCGCTGCCAGAGAAGATGAGGCCAGCATCCTGGGGAGCACCCATCTCGTGGGAACAGGCCGACCCTTTTGCAGTAAGCTATTTAAACATGGAGTATTTTGTTCTTTGTAAATATTGAGCTTTTGAGATGGGCAAGAGACTGGATTGACTGCGTTTCAAACTTGAAGAACAGAGCCCATATTTCTTCAAGTTTAACCTTGCATTGCTGCTAGTACTTTTGCCTAACATGCAGGGGAGTGTTTTGGTGGTGCCACAGAATAGTGTCATTAATTGACATGCTTTTCAGATTCCTGCTAGGTATGCTTTTTGAAGGTGAAGATTAAATATTTTCTAATTTTTTTTTTCTTGCTGTAGTCACTGAAGAAAGTTGGCCAGGACTCGATTGTGCTGCTAATCTGCATAACAGTCTTTCTTTCCTACCTCCCAGAGGCAGGTCAATATTCCAGCTTCTTCCTATACCTCAGACAGGTAACTGAATGGTTTGATGCTGATTTAACAAAAGTAAATTTACAGGAAAGTTTTTCAGTATTGCTGAAGTAATACAGAAAGTATAAAGAACTAGTACAATTTAACAGCTTTCAGCAGCTGATTTAAGTCCCCTTTCTGTTCTGGTTTTGTCATTTTAGAGAGACAAAAAGAGGAGAGAGATAAAGGAGTTATAAAACAACTTCTTGCATTATTTGCATTATTCCTGGACTATGAGGTTCACTATATGTTAAATTATTTTTCATTGAGGGAACCATTTACTTGTTTCCTATTTATGCCACTTTATTTTTGTGTACTTGATTTAATGACAAAAACCATCCAAAACTTTTTCCTAAGTTAGGGAGGAGCTGAATAATACTGCTCTTCCACATTAATGTGCTCCCCCGCGCATGTTGGTGACATCATGACACATGGTTTACAGTTAATAATCACACTGCCTTTCTTTAATACAGATAATGGGATTTTCATCTGAAAGTGTTGCAGCATTTATAGCAGTCCTAGGGATTCTTTCCATTATTGCCCAGGTGAGTTACTGCTGTGTATTTCCTTCATTTGGTAACTTGGACAGAGCGGAGCACTGTGGAGAACTTCCATGATGCTGTGGTTCCAGAACTGAGACTCCCCTTTCAGCAGCTGTTCTTCTCAGTCTCTAACTTAGATGAAACACCAGCCTGCCAGCCAGGGTTTGGCTCTGTAATACCTGAAGCCTATTGTGTTGGTAAAACTAAATCCTTTGTGCATAAAAGAAGGGGTGACAGCTTGTTCATATTTCTTGCTAAGTGATTGCTGTTTGGTAGAGGCTCCAGAACAGTTGGCATATACTGCTTTGGGAGAATTTTACTTGGCTTTTAAAAATTTATTTATTTATTTGCATGTATTTAACATTTAGAAATAAATGCTTTGAGGGTTTTTGTTGTTTTTGTAATTTATTATCTGCATGTGATTTATTATCTGCATGTATTTAACATTTAGAATGTTACTTTTCTTTTTTAACGTTTTTCCCCTCTCTGTCAGACAATAGTTTTGAGTTTACTTATGCGGTCCATTGGAAATAAAAATACCATCCTCCTGGGCCTAGGATTTCAAATACTACAACTGGCGTGGTATGGCTTCGGATCAGAACCATGGTATGTAAATTCCATTTTCATATCTGAAAGGGGATTTTTCCTGCATTTTGTCCTTTACCCACACTTGTGCGTGTGTACATGCCTGTAGCTGCTGCAGAGGCAGAATTGCTGTCCCTACAGCCATTCCTGAGCCTGTGTTTTCTTGCAGGATGATGTGGGCAGCCGGAGCTGTTGCAGCCATGTCCAGTATTACCTTCCCAGCTGTAAGTGCCCTGGTGTCACGAACTGCTGACGCTGACCAACAGGGTAGGTTTTGTCTGAATACTCTGATTTCTAGTCAAAGAACACTGCAGACAGACATGGCAGGGTGGCACCCCAGTGAGCGTAGGTCACAGAATGGTACAACCATGTTACTTGGAAGTTGTAATACATGTGTATCGCATCCTTCAGGCACAGAGGAAAAACGTTCATCTGGTCCCACCAGTAGCAAAACATTCAGCAAACAGAACGTGCCGTTCATTTGCCTTGCTTTTGTCAAAAGTTTGCTTAGTTGCCCAGGTCACACACAGCGCCAGCCGGGATCTGCCCCTGCACCGTGCTCAGAATGAGCTCAGCACAGCCACTGCTACTCTCTGCCCAGAGGGAGCTGGAAAACAGTATGAATATACTGTAGTGACAATTCTTCTGTGTCCCTTGGCTATTCCTACCCCTAGTGCAACACTTTAGAGCAGCTTTCCTGCTTGCATCAGTTTGAAGGTGAAAAGTCTTACAGATCCATTAGAAATAGTTAATTATATATGTATAAATATAGGTACCTGTAATAGTGTCTTTTACTTTTTGCCAGGTGTTGTTCAAGGGATGATAACAGGAATTAGAGGACTCTGTAATGGTTTGGGACCAGCACTTTATGGTTTTATATTCTATATATTTCATGTTGAACTGAATGAACTCCCCATGCCCGAGTCACCATCAGGAGGTGGTGTGGTCACACAATACCATTTACAACAGGTATCGTTCTTTTACTTACTGATTCCAACCAAAGAAATCAGGAAGGGACCTTGTGCCCATCCATTCTTGAGGATGATGCTGTGTTACATGCAATTGTGCTAACTGTAAATGGAGTGTGTAAGAAGAGGTTCTGAAAACACTTGGGAGGGTTGTTGATCTGTTTGTGTTTAACTAGATGGTGGGGTTTAGTTTACCTTTCAGAGAGATACAGCTGATTGTAATTAGACACCTGATGCCCCTTGTAAGGGAGACATATTGAGGGAAGGAGGGACTGAGAACAGCATCCCCCTGTTCTCATGTTTCCCTGACATTGTATTTACCTTTCACATGCTGTATGCCTGTTGTGTTGTCCTGTAACCAAGCTCTCTCTAGCTTTTTCAGTTAGGAAGAACTTGCCCTAGAAAAGGAAGTTGGCACACAATAAGAACCATAATGCTCCCTTTTCTAAATCTTAGGATGTAACATTCTTTCCACATTTCTAAAAGACTCCACCTGGGGATAAAATGCTCTATTGGCTAGTGTAGCAAGAACAAGTTATTTTCCCTCTTGAAATTTGTGTAATTAGCAAGTGTAGTCTATTAACATGTATCAAAAGGCTCATTAATGCTTTGTGGTGTTACTGTTGTTGTTTTCAGAACTCTATAATTCCTGGACCCCCATTCTTGTTTGGAGCGTGCTCTGTGCTCTTGGCACTACTTGTTGCCTTGTTTATTCCTGAACACACAAACCTAAATGTACGATCCAGCAACTGGAAGAAACACTGTGGTAGCCATGGCCACCCCCACAGTCCACAAGCTCCTGGTGAAGCTAAAGAACCATTATTGCAAGACACAAATGTATGACAAAAATCCAGAAAGACCTTATAGACTTTTTTTTTTCCATCAGCAGTTTGGGATACACATTCCCATTCCATCCAAAATGTAATTTCTTAAGGTAATCTTAAGAAGTATCTTTCTGCATGAACCCCATAGGAATTTTTTAAAAAGGAAGTTTCTCCAAAGATGTTGCCATTGAATTAAAAATTTGCTTTTAGAAGACAAACTGTTACATACTTGTCTCTTGCCATGAAATACTTACTGTTACTTACTAAACCTTACATTCTAGCTCAGAGATAAAAAAAAAAAAAGAGTTGAGGCATGAGCATGTGTCCTTCTGTTTCCTTAAGGTGGTGAGCTTTAATCTAGTCCTGCTAAGTCTCAATGAGACATACTAGCATCTGTGTGGACCCATTCATTTTAATGTAAAATCTTGGGTCAGATGATTCAAAGCCTTAATGTAAATGTACTCAAGTATGGAGAAGGTGAATTGGTATCATTTATTTTAAAAGTCATATGGCAGGTTTTTTTAAGTTTGTACTAATACAACAATCACATGAGCACGCTTGCTGAATAGTAAGAGTTATTTTTATGTAAGTGCATTTACTCTTTCTATTTTTGAATAAACGGTAGTATCAAACACTTGTTCAAATATTAGGTGGGTGTTTTGAGCCTATAAATTTTAATATTGGCTCTAAAACTCCGCTTTCCTAAGTACCGTTTATTATACCACTATATTTCTGACGTTTGCATAATCATAAAGGACCTCAAAACTTGAATCCAGACTGAAATATAAGCTGATAGCCTTGAATATGTCCGTGTGCTATATAGTGGCCTTTGAGGACTGTCACAATAACCCTTTTGCAGTACAGAGCTAATGTTTTAGTCCTAAATTTTCAGGACCCTTAGTACAGAAGAGAGCTTTATACAATTACTGATGTGAATTTCTCTAAAAGTGTATATTTTTGTGTCCAGTTGTATTATTTAAGTGTTCCTTTGTATAAATTTGTGTATAAAGTATTGTATAGGTTTAAAATGTTTTCATCTTGTGGTTATTGCTTAATGCTTTTTTACCTTTGAACATTCACCATGGTTGACCAAGAGCAGGAAAAAATATGTAAATATACTGTTAATAAAGTTGAATATTTTAATGAATTTTTAAATAATTGTTAAGGTCTCTTAACAACCTTATTTGAAGTTCTATAGCATGTGTGTTATACTTCAGCAGGTGGGGAAAAAAGCACAGAGTAGAGGTGCAGTGCTCCTCAGTGTGTGTTAGGGGCATGCTCAGGCAGCCCCATCTAAGTCCCAGAGGTTTCAGCAGCCCAGGCTGGCTGCAGCAGGCAGCTGCTTTCCCATGAAACCCAACGTGTCCAGATCACAAGAGCCAGCCGCTGCTGCCTCCCTGTGCTGCGGGGTGGGTACTTTTCCCCAGCCACCACCCTTGTCTTGCTTTAGATTTGAATAGGACTGGGACATCTGGAAAGCTGCTGCATTTCAATCATCAGCTTCCTGTTTGACAGCAGATTCTGTGTACTTTGAGAGAAGCAGACAGAGTTCACATTAATTTACATCTACTAAAACTTAACTGTAAATAGTAGCATAAGCACAGACCTTTAGAAGGGGGTTGGTGCCACCAGGGGATTGTACGTGCACCACAGTGCTGGTCCCAGAGCATGGCCTTGCATGAGGAAAGGAAGACACTGGGAAGAAAACTCCAGAAAAAGGTAAGGTGAAGAAAACAGTACCCTTCTGGCACTTACTTCGTCTTGGGGTTTCAGTACAGGGGAGAGGGTGGTTTAGTACCCTTACAACATCACTTAGTCTTTGATAAAAACCATTTAATATTTCCATTGAAACTCACACATGCCCAAACAAGTGAATATACATTAATTACCATGGTGCTGATTTATAAACAAATGTACACATTTTGCACAGCAAAACAAACCACTTAACCAAGGTAAAAGGTCTGAAATATCTTTAACAGTAAAAGTCTGTAAATAGACTTTAAATTACTATTTTGTATGTTACAAATACTTCACCAAATCAAAGATGGCACAGAATGCTGTAGTTACACAATTCTAGCCTTTGAACCTGGGTAGTAAAACAGGCTGAATAGACTCAGTGTACCTAAGCTTGAGTGTCAAAATATCTTACATTTCTGTACACTCTTTCAGTTGTAAAGTATGATTAGTAAAAATAAAATAGCTTTTAGATGTTGTGATACTGTCAATTACCTGTTCAGATATTTCATCTTACAATGTTTTGCACACAGTGACCTGGGGAACGTAATACTGACAGATTCACAGAAAAGTTAGGGGAACCAAGAGGGAGAAATTCTAATTTTATACCTTCAGTGAAATAATTTCTTTAATTAGGTTATTTCTTAGTCTATGCACAATTCCAACAAGTTGGTTCCAAAATGCAAGTTTTTAAAATTAAAACTGTAAGGGAGGATTAGTGAGGCAAGTCATGCGAACTTATGAGCTTGACTATTACCAAAATTGACAGCATCACCCAACCCAGTTCTCCAGTGCTTTCTATCTGTATCATCCTTTCTCTGAAAGGAGTCAGGAAAAGCATTCAGAGAAATCTCTCTCAGGGAATGCTAGAGCACACTTCATCCACACACCTGTCAGTTCCTATAATAAAAGTCTGCACTTCGAGGGGGGTTTAGGAACACAACAGGGTCTCCAATATACCAAAAGAAAATTCTGCACAGCCTCAGCGACATCACTTACAGTCTTGTTCCCACCAAGGCTGAGGCTGCTTAAAGCTTTATCTTTACCGAATGGGCTCACATACACTGAAAGGCCACCCCAGTCAGTCAAGATGTCTTTCTCAAAGAAAACAGATTCAGACTTAGAAAATTACATCCATTCACACTGATACTTTACTAATACATTATTACAGGACATCCAAAAATCCCCCAGAAGGTTAAAAGAGGAATCTTACGTTAAGAACCCCGTCTACTATCCAGGAAAATAAGCGGAGGCCAGTGTTACTGCTGCTTTTGGTGACGGTTGGGCTTTTGTTGACATGTACGGTTTCAGATACTCTGTAGAATAGCAGAAACAAGACACTGTTCATAGAACCAGAACTACCCTTACCTTTTAAGCACATTTCAAATAAGGTCTTGTTTTAGTGTTTCCACACATACCTGAGTTAAGTGTATTTTGACTAAGCCCTTGTAAAGGAATGCTGTCATCTTTTTTCTTGAAATACTTTGATTCCAGCCCCAAATTATCACCACTAGAAATAAAAACGCAAATTAAAATGTAATACAAGTGCAGTTAGTTAGCAGCCTATTAACAAGAACTGTAGATACAGACTCAATTCAGAAAAATCTTAACCTGAAGTGGAACTACTGCTTTCCTATGAACTTTAGTTCTAGAGTGTTCTCAACTGACTCTTCACATGACAGCCTTAGATCTGCCACCAGAAGGGACAAGGAACTTCTGTTCCTTGGGACCAACTCCTGAAAGCATGGCTCTTCCTTTGTTATCAACTAACCATGCTTAGTGACCAATTAAGTCTGCCACAACTTAAAATTCATTAACATGTTGATGGGGAAAGGCAGAGCACAGAAGTAGCTTGGTACTGGAAATGTTTTGTTCAATTCCAGACACACATAGAAGACAAATGGCTTTATAAAAATAATAATTTAAACCCAACACACTAAAAATGCAATAGATAACACTTACTTCTCTTTGTTTGCTGGATGACTAGTTGCAGTCACAGTCTGAACTTCTGAACATCGATTCATTTTAGAGAGCTGTGGGTTAAACTGAATCTGCAGAAATGTAAGAGTTGGAGGTTAGAGAGCACTATGCCAGTCCAGCAGCCAGTGTATTCAGAGCAAACATCTCGGGGATTCATGTTTCTTTACCTTGCACAGCACTTCTGTGCAGCAAAGTACGCAGAAATAAGCAACCTAAGAACAAGCATTAGCTATTACTAATAGTGATTATGTTCAAGACAGTGAGTTTAAGAGCACTGGGAGGTACAGTCATTCTTCATGCATTCTGAGAAATATTCAAAACAATAAGCTTTGATATTTTATGCTATCATATTCTTAACCAAACAGAAAAGTCAAAATGCTTGCCTTTGGTACTGGACATTGTAAACTGACATTTTTGTTGTGTGCTGGTTCTAGAAAGTTCTGGAAGGCATAGAGAGGAGAAATGGGATGACTGATTCCTGAGCTGGGAAAGGATGGTCGGTCAGGCTGTAAGAGAAATAAGAATGCACCCATAAAGGAGGAAAACAATTCTTGAAGTAATTACAAGTTAAAAAATTAACAACTAACTGTAATTACAAAGCTAACACTCATTTCAGTCTTGCTGATGGGAAGAAAACATCACTTTTCCAAGATTCACATTCTTAAGGAAAACTTGTAACTTTTAAAAAGTTAGTAGCTAAGAGTGCTCAAATTGCCTCACGATAAACTCACAATAAGCTAGACTCCCTGTAACTGATTAATATATTACATGTATCTAGCTATAAATTGGAGACCTCTTCACATGAATATGCCCTTCCACTACTGAATAAGCAGCTCATCAATGGCAAGGTGCCGACAGGGACAACAAAGAACCAATAAGCGACAGTATTTAACAAAAACAGTAGGAAATGTTTCTTACGCAACAACACCAGGGTGCTATCAACACCCTGCCAGCTCCCAACATAAAACACAGCACCATGAGGGCTGCTATAGGGGAAAAACCAATTGCAGCTCAGCTAGACCCAGTACACCCTTATTTTCATGTTTCTAAATATCATTAATAAGGGTATTCAAATGGTACACTTTTTTTCAACCTATACAACCTTAGAACATAAAAATGCCTTCTCTTTTCCCTTCACCCTGCACTCCATCTTTTCCAAGCTAATTTTGCATTGTTTTGTGTATTTTAATGATTAAGAGCTTAGAAATTTCCACTTAGAAGGCCAGGGTATCAAGTAGCACTCAGCAGCATATTATGTTATTAAAACCCTAAACAAACCAAAAAAGCCATATCCACCCACAACCATACACCCAAAACTATATAGAAGATGAAAGCACCTTTACACACACACCCTCTCTCTTTTTAGGGCCATACATTTCAAGAAATAATGACTACATGATAACTGTGTAATTTATAGTTGTATCTTACCATGCCATGAGGTGAAAGGGCAGCCCGAACACCACCCTGAGGACTGGCTGAAGTCTCTGGCTTCTTTGCCATCTGAATTTCATTCAGCTGCTTGTTTAACCATGTGATTACTGCAGACAAGAAAAAGGTCAAGCTCACTTCCTACCTCTTTGAAGCTGTTTAAAACAGCAAGTAGCCCTTCGTCAAAAAAAAGTGACAGCTTGGGGGGCTATTTTTCCTCCTTAAGCATCACTAGAAGTCCCAGTCTCATGAAAGCCTTTTTGTTCAGCCTTCCTCCACCACTACATGCCATTCTGTTCCTTCTTCCAGTTAGCTCCTGCCCTGCACACTACCCCAGACACCAACTGCAAAGTCTCCTCTACCAGCAGCTCTAGGTTGTTGCACACCCACTGCAAACAGAGCTTATTTTTAATCACTGCTCTTTACAAAGAAACAACACAGGTAAAGCCTCCATTCATTTTCAGTAGCAGCTAGATCATTATGTCATTTTTACAGAGGGAGAAATTAAATTGTATAAACCTACCATTTTCATTGGTCTTCAGTAACTGCTTACTTTCTTCTAGTTTTTGTACTGTACTTTCTAGCTGTTCTTGTAGCTTGCAAACCTGCAATATTGCCATAACAACACCATCAGAAGCTAATACTGATGACAAACTGAAGAAAAAATATACTATAAATAAATAGAAAGGATCTATATGTTGTTGTTCTAAAATTATTTAGAGAAGTCTGAACTCAGTTTTTTTTACAAAGCAGTATGGTAATCCTTTTAAAATAAGTCCTATTCTTAGCTAGGGTCTCACCAAGATAACAGCCAGAAGTCTTTCTGACCTTAATTTTTCTGTGATTAAATCTCTTTAACTCTTAAGATTAAAACTCTTAAGCGGGGAAATATACTTAATGGAAGAAAAAGCTCACTCTGTTCCCGTTCTTGCTGCCTTCATCAACTTTCACATGACTATGCCCCCTAAAGCATGTTGATTCACCCACTATATTGCTTTGTGCTCTTAATACAATTTTAGTTTTCTTCCCTATGAATGGATGGCTCTTACAAAATCAGTTTATGTGAAAGAAAAAGTTGCTTACATGTTTGTTTAAACATGTTAACTAAGTAAAAGAGTACATTCTATTTCAGAGAAAGATTTAAGACCTTATTGCTGCAAATAAGAAAAAAAACAGAAAACCCAGCAAACTACATAAAACAGCATTTACAGGACAGAGGGTTAACCTATCACAATACCTCCTGCTCTTTCATTCGAAGAGATTGTCCCATTTCCTGCAATTCTCTCTGCTCTTTCTGAAGTCTCTCTTCTTTTTCTGCCAACAGTTTTTCCTGTTGAATTGTTACAGTATTTTTCAATTTTAATTTACTCATTAGAGTTTTCAAATCTCCTTGTAGCTTCTTGATAATTTCATTAGCCTATTAAAAGAATAATAAATCAGATATTCTCAAAAGAAACACAAAAATAAGGAAGGCATTTCATAAGGATAATGGCATGTTCAAACCTTAAGAAGTTCAGATGACAGCGACTTAATTGTTGTCTCTAATTTTTCAATATGACTTTGTTTTTTCTCTGTACTCTCTTCCAGTACCACCTTTAAAAGAATATTAAAATTATAATAAAGATACATGATAGACATGACTTACGATTTCAAGTAGAACCTCAATAAATTCTTTGCAAGCTAATCTTCACAAGAAATTCAGTCCTTGCTTTTCAGTCAAATTACACAGTATCTCAATTCATCCATTTTTTTGTTTATAAAAAGTATCTCTAACTTTACTCTGGTACCAAAATATTAAAACAGTAGCAACCTTTGCAAAACTGAATCCAGTATGCTTTTGATGCCACAATTTATAATCTTTAACTACATTTGAAAGCTTACTTGCTGTATTCATAAGAACTGGTCAGTTGCTAATCTATAGAGACTGCAATTAAGAAAGTTTTACAGAGGTTTAAAGTATTTTAAAATTGAAAGGAACCTTTTGTTCTTGTGTTGCATCCAATACTTCTTTTGTTCTAAGAACTAGCTGATCCTTATCTTTGATCTCTTGCTCCAGAACAGCAACCCGTGTCTGTAGCTGATTAATGAGTTTCTCTTTTTCATGACATTCAGCATCCAGAGTAGTGTTCTCTCGACGCAGTGACAGCACCTCCTGCTTTGCTCTTTGACATTCCTAGAACGTTAGAAAGGAATTTTATTTTATTTATGAAAACCTGTAATGGTAACTTAAACTGATATAGTAAGCATAATGTGGAATGAAGAGGAGTTGAACAAACTTAATACACTATATTTTCTATTACATGCACAGGCAGGCAGTGTTAATGCTCTACAAATTGGTTACAGAAATGAATAAACCATACATCTTCTATTCCAGAAAGCTTTGCTTTCAGTTCTCTGACTGTGGAATCTCCTTTGTATCTCCTTTCTGTCAGATCTTTATTGATGACCTCAAGTTCCGAGAGTCTGTTCTGCAACTGTTGAATACTTTTCTGATGCAAATTTTCTAATTCCTTTTTCTGTTGTTCATGCTGTTGTTGGTACTGAGCTTGTGCCTACAAGAAAAATGGACACAAAGTAGTTATTCAATTAATCTGAAAATTAAGCCAAGAAACTACTCACATATAAGAATATTGCTAATTTTTGTCTATTGTCATACCTGGAGAGCTCTTTCCTTTTCACTTGTCAGCTCCTGTGTGTGTTTGTTATTTAGAGCTGTAGTGTATGATGTCCATTCATTTTTCAGTTTGTCTAGCTCTCGGCTCTTCTCTGACAAGCTCTGTTTGACAAAGCATAGAGGATTTTAAAAATGTAAGCATTTTACTCAATTCTGAATGATTCTTTACTGTTACTTCTTAAAAAGGACATGGAATTGTTGAAAAAAGTCCAAATTTCAGCACCAGAATACTGTTCATTCTGTAAACAGGAAAGTAAGGCACTGAAAAGCTAAAGAGCACCTTTCTGCACTGGATAAAAACATCTTCATTTCCAATTGTATTTTCTTCTGATCACTATTTAAGAGTGAAAAAAACAGTCTGCTGATGTTCCCTAGCCTTTTAAACACAAAGTGCTCTATTGAGGGGAAGTTCTTCAGCAAAAGTTTCCTCTTTTTGATTTCTAATTTTGCACTGCAATTCAGCAAACACATTCCAGTAACCCCAGCTGAAATTAAAAAGGTGAGGTAAACAAGTATTCCATTCCAAAAAAACTCCATAATTGTAGTTTTTATAGAATTTTTCTTTTCATGGTAGTCAAAAAAGTCACCTTGATAATGCTAGAACTTGACCCAAATCATCACCTTGAAACAGAAATGTGAAGTTATTACTGGGCTGACTGCAAAAAAAAAAAAATCAAAAAGTAGTAGAGTAACATGAAGTTCAAGACTTTATCAGTTTCACAATTTTTCCAAATATAAGGATTTACAACCATTTATGGACTATGTAGAGTATATTTATCTTGACACTACCCCATATAATTTGTGTGTGCATATACAAACCAACCTCTGTACAATATCAAGTAAAATTCTGATTTAGTATTGTGAGAACTAAATTTTATTCTTCAGTTGCATGCTTTACTCATTCTTAAGAAAAGCTACACTAAACTACTATTCTTCTTTTCACTCACTCCCAAGTCAATTATCTTGGCTAGGCAGTGCCTAAACGACCAATTCACAAGAAGGTAAATTTTCCACAGATTGAAAAAAGTGCAACTTACACCCAGAAAGTTAAAAATTTACATTACCTGTTGAGTGTAGCTCAGTTGTCTGGTAAGATCCTCTTCAGTTTTTCTAAGCTTTTCTTCCAACATCATTTTGTCTTCCTATGTACAAATTGACATTAAGTCAAGCCTTAGCCCCCAAAATACAAGCAGTATTTAGCTTCCATTTTATCAGTATACCTTGTCTAAGCAACCACATACCCATTATATTTGTGGACAAAATAATCTTATTTAATAAACTTCTTATTGAATAAAAAATTAATGAAGTTAAAAGAAAAGGCATTAGCTCACAAGGAAAAAACTGAAATAAATTCTTACCAAGTTTCTATGAGGAAACAGTATCTTAACATAGAGACTTTTACAAAGAAGTTGCATGAAAAACAAACCAACTGAAATACTGTAAATTTATGTTATTAAAATAGCTTATTAGGTGGCTATAAACACGACAGCACCCTAGGAGTCACACCAATCCCATGAAACCGAAACAAACAAAGGTCAAACTACGAGACCATTATTTTCTCACTAAATAAATGCTGCTACCAACTGCATCAACATTATGACTTTTATTTGCTATTTATAGCTGCTACCCCTTGAAGTCCATAAAGCCTTACAATCATATTTACACACATCCTTTCCTAAACCCAACTGCCAAACAAAGGGATTGAAAGTTTACAGTATTTTACTCTTGCAGATGATTGGGCCATCAGCACAAGGCTTCACATGAAGCACCAGACACTGAAGCATTCAGAAGCATTCAACAGCTGCGTACTACATGTGCTGCATGTATAAAACACCTGATCTTCTGTCAGTTCAAATTATAGCGCTTGGCTGAATATACATGGTAATATTTTTATTGCTAAAGCAACAGTAACAATTTAGTTTTGTAACACGCACCCAAATAACGGCATGCAATGACATATCCGAGCTAAAACAAAAAATAAACCAGAGCATACAATTTGGTACATACTTTTGAAGTATTAAGACTGAAAAAAAGCTTAAGTACACATTGCATCAAGGCCTAGTTGCAGCTATGACAAGCCTTCATTTTACCTTAAGGCATTTCAAACAGCTGGCTAAAAACTTCTTTATTTCTGCATCATTTCCTGGTAGGAATTTTAGAGAGAGGTGGGTAAGATGTTTAAAAGGGTTGGTCTCCACTACATTTAAGGAGACAGGTGTGTGATCTAGAACAGATGCTGAAGAAACTAACTGCAGCAAAAACCTAGGGAAGATCAAAAATAATCAAGTGTTTAGCATACTTCTTTCCCTGAAACTACCTGTAGATCCCACAAGCTATTTTCAAATAAATATTTTCACATGTGCAATAAAAGGCTGTCCAGTTTTCATTTGAAAAAGAACTATGAAATTCAGTCCCTAGTTAATACTACAAACAAATATCAACCAAAATGCTTGTACCTTACAATAAATGTACAAATCTAAACAGCTTGTTTCTTTGTAAAATTTTCAGAAGCCTGTATTTTGACTTACAAGTCAAAAACGAAGTAAGACCTTTGTAACCAAATTCAAAAGAAAAAAAGATTCCTGACTTTTAGGTATCCTACAGTCTAGTAAAATTCATAGCTCACAGAACATACTTCAGGAAATGGCCTGACTACTGGTGTGGAGTTAGGTACTCTGGACAGGGCTTTCCTGTACCCACACAAACAAAAACAACATCTGAAAAGGCCACTACAGGGAAGAGCATATCTCAGGTCTTCCCCCTCACATCTTAATATCTGAACACTGAAATGAAAGAAAAAAAAAATCCTTGTCAGAATGCCTTATAAATTTGCTTTCTCCTCTGAAATGGATTTACATCTCAGTCCATCAAATTCAGATTAGGTCTCCAGTATTACTGCTAAAAAAAAAAAAAAGGGCCAGTGCTGCATCCTTCCACATCTGCTAGCCTGTGAAGCTTGCCAGCTTCAACTCGGATGAAGAGACTATTACTAGACATAAATTCCACTGCTCAGTCCTCCAGAGAAAGGTTTTGTCAGTAACATCCCCCCAATTGATATTCAGATGCATCCAGAAGGTTAAACTATCCTTGTTCTACTGACTCCTCTCAGTCTGAGTGGCTGACAAGTATTTTAAGAACTCACAACTTACACACAGAGTTAGATAGCACTCATTTATTACCTACCTTGGGATATCTTTGTTCTGTTCCTGAATGCATTGCTGAAGCAGATCTATAAATTTTTGTGGGAAAGCAGAGAAGTCTACCAAGAGACCTTGCTGGGATTTTAAACTACATAAACAGATTGGAAAAAAAATAATTAAGGATACACAGAGGTGTAATTTATTTCCTATACAATATTTTGTTTACACTAGTAGAAAGAACTAATTCTGATCACGTCATTAAAGTTTGCTAGCACCTTTTTTTCAATCCTGAACAAGAAGAAACGTGATCATGTCCTGGATAATAACCACCAGAAGATATTTATGATTTCAAGAGTTCTTGAAAATTGGCTGCACTAATTAACAACAAATGTGCTCCTTTGAGTAGATGCCTTCCTTACAGCACAGAGTGGTACAGTTATTGGATAGGAGGGGCACATAGAAGAAGCAAAGGGCAATAAGGGGAGACTCAACCATTATCAAGACTTTATCTGGCTATTTATTTAATTGCACACCTTCACCAGTAATGGAGCAAACTCAGAGACAAACATTCAACACTGTATGCACGAAGCCATACCTTATATAACAAAACACTACTTCTGCGTGTCTGTTCTACAAACACTTTTGCCTTTTGAGCCACACATTCCCTTACCTTTGAAAATCTTCCTCAGATATGACAAGGTTATAAAGGAAGAAAGGATCAGTATCATCAGTCAATCGAACAGCTAAATCCTGAAAAGACAGATATTTAACTGACTAAAAATAAATCCACCCTGTATGACTATTTAAATATTGTAAACCAATATTATAAACAGTATTTAATGTTTCTACTGTTGTGGCAACTAATTCAGAGGGTGAAAAACATTAACGTTTAACACAACTTCAATTACTACTGTGGGAAAACAGGGAAAACTATTTCTCACAAAAATAAACCAAGTAAAAACATTCAACTTTGAGCAGCAAAGGTTTCAATATTCAGTGTGTCTTCACCATTTTACAGAAAGAAAACTATCTGGTATTTTTCCCCTCATGAAACACTGTAGAACTAGCAGTCCACTGTAATGGATCATAAACACATCATTCCCATAACTGGAAGTTTTTCAGAACATACTGCTCCTAAAAGTTTAAAAAACCACCTTCTAAACTATTTGAATATAGAGATTTGCAAAGCAAACCTAAACCAGATACAGCGGAAGTCCAGTAAGCTCATAAGCAAAAGTGTGGCATTATGCTGCTTAGCTTTTAAAAATAAACTCACTTGTTCACTGGAGGCCTACACAGTGTTTTGGATTAGTCTTTCATTACAAGGCTGGGGTTATGCAAAGCACCTGCTATGTTAGGCCCAGGCACCTGCTCTCTATAAGGAAGCTCAAACCTGTGTGAAGAATATAATATTCTCTAGCAGAGGAAAGAAAGGAAGCAGAAACCTGACAGCTCTTCCAACATAGCTGAAGTGTGACATGGCACACATACATAATCAGAACTGAAATAAGTTTCAGTAATTCCGATACCAGTAACGCTAACAAAACTCTCAGCTGGAGATGTATAAATATATAAACATGGACAGCCAGCTTATGTTAAATTAAAGCCACCCCAAACCAGCTAGGGAAGGTTGATGAATAGCATAAGAACTCCTGCTTGGTTTGATGCCTCATTAACTGATCCAGGCATCTGAAGTTATCTTTTTAGACTGATCTGTCACTGATGTGCCCAACTGGATTTCCAGGCTCATGCTGACACAGGCTGCAAATTGGTACACAATTCTTAACCGAATTGCTTCTTCACACTTAATTATTATCATTATCATAGTTAGCAGAATCTTACCAAAAATGTTGTACTCCCTTACAAACAGATCTTTACTCGGTAACACTACAACCAACTAAGGACAAATTTTAACATCGTGGTAGGTGGATGCACCGTTTAGTAACAAATTATACATAAAACAAAAAAAGATTTTATAACCTCCAATAGTAATTTCATTGCTATCTTTCCTAAGATTTTTTTTTTTACTGCAAATTTAGTACAATATTTCCTTCCTACTCCCACTGGATAAATTCCAAACATTCAAAGACTAACACACTTATTAACAAAAAGCAAAATGTTACATCCACATACAAGTTGACATTTTTGCTAGTTAAAATGAGGACTTTGCAAAACAACTGCTGCTCTGCATTCTTAAAGAAGCGTTGAGTATTTTTAAAAGTGAGACTGCTCTTTAACTCGGGTTCACACAATAGTCTCCAAATAGTTTTAATTTGCAAGCAATTACTAACACCCATGAAGACCCAAAGTAAAAGAGAGGACTAAAAAAGTCTAGGAAAAAAACACCATTACCAAGCTAACAAAATTACTCAAGAAATTATATCAAAAATAAAATAGGGTCAAGTGACACACATGCCAAAATCCTATTTTGCTTTTCATTTCCCTATTTTTCCTCTTATACAATGAAATTTGGATAATACTTAAGGAATTATACAAATATAACTAATGCACAAACCTTTTTATGAACAGGATTAGAAATTGACAGTAGTTCAATATTCACTCGAACATTCAATCTCCTGTATACAAAAAGATGAAACTTAGAAACGAATTAAGAAAACATTCTCCAAATAACATGTGTTCATAGCCACATTACAGGAACCAGACGACATTTAAAAAAAAAAATTTAGGCAGATATATTAAGTTCACATTGATCACTACTACTAAGATGCCTGAAAGCCCCACACCTTCAAGTACCATTACAGCTCCGCAGTCAGCTCAAGTTTTTTCTTGTTTGTTATCCACCAAACTTCACATAGCAAGGCAAAAGTTTTGAAACTTTGTCCAGAAACTAGAACCTTTGTAAAAGCCTGCTGAAATTTTATTAACGATTGCTGAAACTTTTGATAATCATTTATACAGTGCTATGTTGTCTTCATTTACTTCTCACAGAGTAATATGAGAAGTTATTTGCATGACAAAATACACCCACAAATACCTTTCTGTGCCTTCTAAAACCGGCAAGACAAGAGCTCTAACGCCTGCACCCACTCTCTAATCCAGATAGAGCCTGTATTACTGACATTCGCTGTATTGTGAAGAGCCACTTGCCATAAACCATTCCTGGGCTCTCCCAAACACCAGTGCTAAGGCATGCACATACGTACGCGAGGGCGCCTAAATCGACTTATCCCTAGGTAGAAACCGGTCGGGACGGACGTGTGGGATCGCGCAAGCCATAGGGGCAGTAATGAGGGAGCCAAAGAGCTCCCGGAGGCCGCGGTAAGGTCGGCTTCAGACTGCGAGAAGGGGGAGGAAGAGGAGGCGGGCCTGCCCTCAGGGCAACCGCTGCGGCCTGGGAGACGCGCAAACACCAACCGGGCCTACAGCGTTGCAAGAGCCCGCGCGGAAATCCTCGCCCTCATGTCGCCTGCAGGGGAGACGAATTTGCCCTCGTATCCCTAAAATGTCTCTGTAAGGCCATTGCGTGTTTTCTCCACTACCACTAACCCCTCCGTCCCCTCTCCCCTAGCAAGGCACCCACAGCAGCCACCACAGCCCTCGCTGACTACCTCCAGCTTTACTACGACCAAGTCCCCTTCCTTCTAGCCCGGAGAATAAGCATCCCATATGCATCCCCAAAGTGAGAACAACGGAGGTGAGAACAACGGAGGTAAGAACAACTCAGCTCAGCGCTCGCACTACGCGCACGGCCCCGCCTCTCGGCCCGCAGCTGTTAGGGCACAGGGCTAAAATAAAAAAGACGACGAAAAAGCCTGTCGCTCAGCAGATCTTCTCCTAAAGGATGCAACAAAGCTTCCACACAGCTGACGAAGGAAAAACTCAAGCCAGCCCCTCACCTCTCCTCGCAGCCCTGGCACCTCACTTGCACACACACCGGCTGGTTGAACATGCTCTCCGCCGCCATCTTGCGCTTCGAGTTTGGCGCCCGGCTCCCGCGGAGGAGGAGCCTCAAGATGGAGCCGAGGCGGCGCGCGCAAAGAGTGCCGGGACGGAAATGGCGGCGCCGGAGCCGAGACGTGGCTCTCCTCTCCCGGGGCGATGTGCCTATTTCGTGGAGAGGAAGAAGCGCTTCTGCAAGATGATCCCGGCTCCTGGGAGGCGCTTTTGCGGAGAGCATGGGCAGCAGGAGGTACCGGGCCTTGCTGGGCGGAGCAACAGTCCCCCTTCTCCGGCGGGGGAGGAGGGGCTCCTGGGGGCAGGGGAGCCCCGGGTTCTCAGGCAGCGGGGAGGCACCGGCGGCACCCAGGGGGCCTGGGCGGCATGTCCGCCTGAGCTGGCCCCGCAGCATGGGCAGAGAGGCAGCGCTGCGCCTTCCTTTGAGCTAAGACCATCAGTTCAGCACAGCAGTAACCCTGCCGTTAACATCAAGGGTTTATTCTTTTAGGGCCCATTTAAGTATTAAATTCTCTATTCCGGTTAACCCACCTACCATAAAATAGATGTTTTGTGAAACTCCGATGTCCCTCAACAGCTTTTCTGAAACAGTAACACTGAATAGCTGCTGAAGTGTTGTCTAAAACTTTTCTTTTACAACTAGCAAGAAAATGACAGAAAAAGAATTCCGTGCCCTCTTGATCCAAAACAGTAAGTATATGTAAATGCTTTTCCTATTCTTTGTCGGAGTTCACATGATAAATGCTACTACTTATTTTTTTTTTTCCATTTGGATTTTAGCACTGTATATGAAGACCAACTACAAAAGCATTTAAAAAAATGTAATTCAAGAGAGAAGCCAAAGCCAGTAAGTGCAGCACTCACTACCTCCTCTCAGATTTAAGACCTTAAACATTAGAGCTCTGCAGAGAACTTAACTGTGCTGACAGCAGGTGTGAACTGGCAGACAGCAGTCTCAGCAAGCATGACAGTAGGGAAGATGAATAGGTACTTGCTGAAATGAAATTCACATTCTAATCTCATCTTTTATTTCCCCTCTCATTGTAGTTCAGTACAACTTTTCAGTTCTCTTAGTTACAAATAAAAATGCTGAATTAATTTTATGTGCTCTAAGAACAGTCTCTCACAATGCTATTCATTTCACAGGTTTGGTGAGAGACTGTCCTTGGGAAGCAAAACTAGCAGGGAGACTCTGGGCGTTTTCCTACATCTGACAGTCTGCTGCCCTAGCCAGCTTGGCCACTTCACTCAAGCGAGCAGTGGATGATGAAAAGCTAGGCTGACAGTTGCAGCTAGTGCTGAGGGAAGGAATAGGATGTATGTCTCAACAGCTGTTTCAAGAAAACAGAAGATGACTTCTTTACTGTCTGCCTTTCTGCCTTACGAGTATTGCGCCTTTGGTATTACATAGGAAACCTTAAAGTGATCTCTGGAATCAGTCTAGTAAGCATTGGCAGCTTAACTCTTATGAACACGTGCAATCATGCTAAAACATGTCAGTCATTTGTGCTGGGGATTTAGGATCAGACTACAGGAAAAAAAAATTACTTGGAATATTTTTTGCAGTGGATTCCTGTTTCTGTGTACCTTATGATGAAACACTGAAGAAGTTAGCTTTTTGCTTCCTGGTAATTAACAAAATCAATTTTTTTTTTTTTTTAATTTTTATTTTTAAAGGTCTACTTTGTTCAAGATATTAATGCAGGTTTAAAAGATGTAGCAGAAATACCAGAAAAAACAGTGAGTACATCTATTTGTTCTAATGCTCAGTCCCTACATAACATGTTGTAATTTATCATATGACTAATCAACTAGCAAAACCAAAAAGGTCTTGTATTTATGGTTGGCTTTTTTTTTTTTTGTCTTTAAAAAGGTACCTATTTCTTCTCTGTCCAAAGAAGAGTTGAAGAACTTAATTATCAAGGTGAAAAAAGCAAGTAATGGTGAGCTTACTTAATACTGAAAATAAGGTATTTGAAACTGAATTGCTTAAATATTTTATTGTTTTTTTTTGTTGATAGGTATCTCTGAAAATGTGAGATATTTGGCACTAAACACATCTGAAGTAATTATCATCAAGATGTAGGCAATCCTCCAATAGCTAAATTTTACTCAGAAGAATAAACTAGATTGATAGAATAAAACACTGATCTTTTGTTCATGTAACTAATCTCCCTTTCTTTTGTGTTTTTTGTCTTCCATGCAAATATCACTACATATAACAATACAGCTCTGTTATAAACATAGGTCTATTTTGATAGTGCCTCAAATGGAGCTCTTGTCTGAATAATGTAACATGTATGATACAAAACCAGAAACTCTTGAAAAATGGAAACCTATTCCTAAAAGTTTTGCATTTGCATGCAGGCCTGGAACTTGACCTTAAGGAACAAATACTGTCCCACCAGGCTTTACAAGAAGCCTTAAATGACCCAAAGAATGGGGAATCCGCTTTCAAACACTTGAAACAACAGGTATGGTCACTGCTTTACTAATAGCTATAGATGTTTTTAAATGTAGAATTCCATTGCTGTAAATTGGAGTGAGTGTGTGTGCGTAATACTAGTCTCTCTGTATAGAGGAAATCTGATATGCTCTATTAAGTCTACAGCATACATATAACCTTGGAGTGGCTGCTTTAAGAGTAATAAAAGTTCATTAGGATACTGAAATACAAATTGTGTGTTCTGAATTTTTACTTGCATATTCTTATTTTATATCAGCTCATAATAAATCTGAGCTACAAATGTAAAATGTTGTATTTGCTAAGAAGTAAAAGGAATTTTTTACTTTTTCTGTAAGAAAATGATTTCCTGATTGTGTAACAGATGCATAAAAAGAATTGGAGACCCTGAGTTCATCTTCTGCGTTTTTAATGTATATGGAGCAGTATGAATTTTAAGGGAGACAGATTGCATACTGTAGCAGAAGAAAAAGTTTAGGGAAGGAAAATTTAAAAGTGAGAAATGTCTTTTTACTGTACTTTCTTCCTGTGGTCTACTTTTCTATGTATTCCAAAACACATAACTGCAGCAGAGAGGGCTCAGCAGCCACTGATGCTTCACAGAAAATCCAGAACAATACAGATCTTTTAGATGACTACTTTGAGAATCAGCAGAGAATAATATTATAATGTGTACTTGATCCCAAAAATCCATTCCAGAAACTTCTGGGTGGAGTTCTGTGAGCAGTGGAAGAAGGGATGGGTGCTGCTATAATCCCTTTCCTCTGTACACACAAGAACTTTTCCCTAATTCCTCAGGGAATGGAAGACTTAGAAAAGACCTCTGCAGTTTAGTGAAATAATCAGTTTTCTATCAGGCATTACAATACACAGTCTATATATTTGTAAATAATCCTTTGATTCTTGTAGGCTTCTATTTTAGGTAACATGGAAAAATTACATTTACTTGGTCCAGGAAGATGCTTTGTTGAGTTTGGAGCTGGGCGGGGAAAGCTGTCTCATTGGGTTGATGTTGCCTTACAGAATGTTGAAAATGTTCAGTTTTTGCTTGTGGAAAGGGCAACTACAAGATTCAAGGTAAGAGAGGATATTGCCACATTAGCAAGAGTATAATTTTTAAACTGTTGTTGTTGAAGCTGTTAGAATTTGCTTTTTATCTTCAAAGAGAACATAAAGCTTTTAAATTGTGAAAGTTTGGGAAGTGTGATTGTGTACATTCCATACTTTGCCAATAGCAAACTTATTAGGGAAAAAAATGGTGTAGGGTGTTGGAAATGTGCAGACTTGTCAGGACAAAAGTCTGGCATTAATCCCTGGAGCAAAATAATTAGTAATCTTGTTATGTTTACACAGGTGGATGGAAAACATAAAAGAAGAGATTCTGTATTTGAAAGGCTACAAGTTGATATTCAGCATTTATGTTTAAGTAAGTTACTTCTTGGCTTGTGAAACAGAGACTTAATTTTAGATTTTGAATACTGGAGTTCAAGTCAGTTTGTATGTAGCTTAAATGTGCTTGGTTTTGAAGATTATTTTCAGTGGTTACTTGGACACATTAATGCTGTGTGTATATGCATATACATACACGTGTGTGTGTGTATATATACACGTGTGTGTATGTATATATATATTTAAAAAAAAAATAAAATAAATAAATAAATATATATATATATATAAAAAAAAATGGAGATTTAAAATGTTTGGCTTTTTATACACATAATTATAGGCAAGAAATAGCAAAAACCAAAACATTTTGGAGGATTTTTTTAGAACTTGCAGGATTAAACACCTTTGCATTGTTTGTTATAGGTGTGCAGACTGAAGCAAGTCATGCATATCGTCGATATGCATATATGCTATATATTGTGTATATTGATATTCTGTGCATATCAACAGAATTTGTGGGAACACCTGTCATCATGAGATGCGTTAATGTCATTTGCTTTTCACAGGCAGTATAGAAAGGCTGAAATGGTTAAATATGCTTCTCAGCCACAGCATCTGATTGTCCTAATTTGTTTCAGAAATAGAAACTTTCATTTAATAGCTTGTAACTGTACGTACAGACCACTGTGTTTTCAGTAAAGGTTAACATTTATTTAAGTGTGCTGAAATTACATTATCCAGAAAAAATACTTCCCCAGCTATAATAATAGAAGTTCTGGGGTTTTGGGGGATTGTGTGTGTGTGTTTATTTTACTGCTTTTTTTTTTTTCCCCGTCCAGAGAAGGTACCTATTTTGGAGATGAACAGACTACCAGTAGTAGGAATTGGGAAGCATTTGTGTGGTGCTGCGACAGGTATAAATTATATGTGTTAACTGCAGCATATTAAGATATTAAATCTTACAGTCTGAAGGGACTGATCTTCCAAACTGTCCTTTTAAGTTTTTCTTGCCCTCTAATCCATTGTTAGCAAATGTAGTAATTACATTCTAAATACCTGTTGACCTCAGTGAAATAATAAATGGATAATAGATTCAAGGCTACTTTAGACATAAGTAAAACCTTTCATATTTTTTATAGAGTAGAACAAAAAAAAGCGTGTGGTGGTATGGGTCATGTATTTGTATACTGTTAGAAGTGCCTTTTTTTAACACTGTAGCCTCTACTCTGAAATATTTTCTTTCTAGATTTGTATTGGCTGTCTGAATATGTATCCTAAGCAAGCAGATAAGAATGTGTTTCTGTCCTGATAATTTTAGACTAATATACTTTTTCTAATGTTACGTCTACTAAGTAGAGAAAGGCATCTCAAATGCTTAATTGTGTCATTTTTGTAACAGTACCTATACAGGTGTCATATTTAAGAAGTGCCTGTACATATTAAGTAGATTGTGTCCTAGATATCAAGCTTGCAGAGCAATTGCTTGCATGTTTTACAGGAAAGAGATCCACCTACAATATGCAAGTTTGTTAACCAAAGTATTTCAAATTCACTTGTGTAGAACAAATATTCAAGAGGGTAAGCCCTTAGTAGATCCAGAGGCCTCATAATATTTATTTAGCATTTAGAGTTTTCATGTTTTCAAAGCATACTTGTAATTTCTAGTTATCCTTAAAACTGCTTTCTGGCTTACTTTGTGATGTATACTTTTATTGTTCTTTGTGGGAAGCACATTCCCAACTGTGATAGAGCCTGTATAAATAGTGGCATGGTGTTTGTTGCTATTTTTTGGAGGCAGTACGGCTGTTCTTTCCTAGATCTTGCTTTGAGATGCTTGGTTGAAAGTTATACAGCTGCTTGTGATGGAGAAAATGAAGAGCCTGCACCAAAACGCTCTAGGACCGACAAGAAAGAGGTGGCTTCTAACAATTCTGCTGATAATGAAAGCAACAAAGAAGACTGTAAGCCTGTAGCTGGAATTGTTATTGCACTGTGTTGCCATCACAAGTGTGACTGGACACATTATGTAGGCAGAGAGTTCTTTAAAGCAGTAGGACTTGGACCAGTAGAATTCCATTATTTTACAAGAATGAGTAGCTGGGCCACTTGTGGCATGCTAGAAGCCACAACCAAAGCCCCTACAAGTGAAGAAAGTGAAGATCAAACTAACGACACAGGAGGACATGAGCAAACATTCATCAAGACAGAGGGCGATTCTGATACTTTACAAGGGTACATAATTTTTTTTCTATAAATGGACTCCTGCAGAAAAGTAAAATTATATATAGTGGTATATAAAATTCTTTTAGGTCCTCAAAATGACTAATTTTACAGAAACAACTACTAAATTTATAGAAATAGTCTACTTTAAAAATACAGTTTTCATGGACTTACAGTTCAAAATATTTTAACAGTCATGCTAGCCTGAACTGAAATGAATTTGCAGTGATTTCAGTAGTTTTTCTAAGCTTAACTACTAATGTTAATCAACAAAACTATTCTTCTGACATGTTCATTCTTTTCCTCCTTTTTGTGAAACTAGAATACTTACTGTTGAAGAACGAAAGGAGATAGGTTGCCTTTGTAAACTGTTGATTGATCACGGGCGGATTGAATATTTACAACAACGAGGATACAAGGCTGCACTACAGTATTATACAGAGTCTGATGTGTCCTTGGAGAATGTCCTGTTGACAGCTGTCCCAAGTCCGTCTTTGATAACAGCGCCAACTACATGACAGGAAATAGATTTGGAATTGGTAGGAAAAAAACCTATAAAACTTATCTGGATTTTTTTAAAAGCCAATCATTGTTTGCGAAAAAACTGTTTCAGTCTTTCCTGTACCCAGGAAGAGGTCTTATATTTCCCAGTTTCACTGGAAGTTACAAATATGCAAACCAGTTCTCATTGACAGAAAAATAAAATCCTGACGAATATCTGAAACCTGTTGTATGCCTCTTTGCTAGGAGGAAGTATACTTGATAATATTCTTCCATTCACAGTTACGTTATTTATTCATTAGCATTTATGACAGGAGAAGGACCAGAAGTACAACTTTCCAGATTTCCTAAAAAAGAATGGGTTAAAATAAGAGAAATTAACATGCTTTGTTTTCACTTTAAAGTTCAGAATAGCTTTATCTTTCCTCTTAAATTATTTAAGTAGGCCTAGGTACTTTCATCAGACCATGCTGCTAAGGTAATCTGTTAAGGAAGAAAACTTATTTGTAAACTGTCATTTTGATATATTTTTGCTAATTTGATTATTCATTCATGAAATACTGATAAGAAAAAAGCTGTCTTAAGCATTCTAAATCAAGAGTGTTTCAATCATTCATTTTTAAGCCTTCATGATATATAGAACGAAGATCAGAGAAAACATTTTATATCTGCAAAGAAGTTCTCTCTGCAGGTAACAGCTCTACATGCACATCTGTTCAAGTGCTTTTTTTTGGTCTCTTACTATAGCCTTTAAGCTATTACCTTTGAGACTGGTAACAGCATTTTCTTATCAGAGTGATTTAGAAATGGGATGAAACTGGGGGGGGGGGTTTGTTTAGGTCACTGGATTTTTGGTCAGCAAAAGCAAGTTGTGAGAAACATCTGCTTATATCAGGCATTGATACTTCATTGCTAAAAATGTTGTATGTTGGGAACGTAGGCTCTCTCCCTTACATCCTCCTTTGGTAGTCCCCATCTGGACAACATCTAAAAATAGGGAAGGTTGAGCTTCATGAGACAAACAGTGCTGGAAGACCCACACTATGTAAACTCTGATTAAATTTCAAGTACAAGAGACAGTCATCAACTTCCAGTTACCCAGGCTGTAGGCAACTTAGGCATGTTTATTCCAGTGTTCCACAGTTCCAGTATGTACTTACTAGATGTATATGCTGTTCATGTGAAGACCTACTGTGCCAGCTCCTGATAAAAGCAACCCTGCCCTCTGAAAAAACTGTAAACAGATTTTTACTAAGATGTTATATTTATTAAGATTATTCCTGTTTTATTTGTATATGTATCCTAGCTTCCTTTAATCTGGTTTATTGTTCCCTGTGTCACTGTACTCCAGAGAGATTAGAATTCGTAAAAAAGCCATACCTGTTTTTTTGAGTGACTCCTGGATATACATGTGCATGAATTCAATGCCAAACATTTCCTGTTGGTCTTCCTCTTCTGTATCCTCGCATGGAGGGAGTGTTACCTCTAACTCCAGTGGATTGTCTCTGAAGTTGACAAATCTGATAGTTCACCAGAAAAGGTTACTCTTGCAGTAGGTTTTGTCCAGAGATCAACTCTTTTGAAACTGAATTAAGAGTACTCAAACAGTATTTTGAGCAAAATAAAATAAGTCTTTTAATATTACTAATATAGTGATGAGTTTAAGTAAACTAAGCTAAGATGATGCCTTCTAACAGTAGCTGATTGTGGTGGGAGAAAACATTGCAGTTCTCATCATTTTTAGCTTCAGGTTTTAACCCCACTGTCAGCCTTACTGAGCTTCCACACACATTCAAATGCCTGGATTCTCCCACCATTGCAAGGCAATAGCCAACCCTGTCTCCCTCTGTTCTTCATCCATCCCTGGGCCTGTGCTTGTATAGATATATTTTTAAGAGGTGCTGCTTCTTCCAAAACATCTAAAACCAGGAATTGTCTTACTGGGTTAGACATGATTTAGACTAGTTTTCTTTAAAATGGCCAGTATCCAGTAATTCAAATGAAAATGCAAACAACAGGAAAGTTTCTGTCACAGTATACAAAAGAACATTTCTAATTCTACCAATTAAAAATTTACATTCATTCTTTATTTTCCAAAGCAAGTACAGGAGTATCCTTATACCTAATCCTTTTTATTTAATTCTGAATGCTTGACTTCTCAGTGCAAAAGTTCTACTTTTTGTCATTTTTATCATTGTTACATATTTTTCCTCCTAGCTCTTGGCTTTAGAGAGTGATGTAAAAGGCCAATTAGAAGTCAGCATTTGGACCTTTTTGGAAATGAGAAAATGTACTATGGTTTCCTTTTTCATTTGGGACTGTAACTAGCATGAATGAGTTGTGCTACACAAAGCTTTCTTGACCAGATCCTCAACTGTTATGAGTCTGTGAAATTATGCTGATTTATATGGTATTGTGTTCATCTGTATAACTGTGGACATGCCTTTTCCACTTAGTATCACTTTATGATATACAACTCAAGGGAGGCTTTAACACTTACCTCCTGGTATTTTTATTTATATTTCTGCTGATTTTTCTTACCTCAGATTTGTCATGTCCTTCAGACGAGCTGGAATATCCTTAAGTTTGTTGTTGCTAAGAACAAGAGTACTAAGATTTTTCATATTACCAATGGTTTCTGGCAAAGAGTTTATCTCATTCCTTTGGAGCCATAAAGTGTGGAGATTCTCCATTCTGTAAAATAGGTATTTGCACAATCCATAAAGATTTAGAAAATTAATCTTCTTAATCATTAATATAAAGGAATTGATTCATTTTTACAGCCCCATAAAGATCTCTCATAAAGAATGCAACAATTCTCAAAGGAAACCTCATATCCAAGATAATCACCCAACCTCTTGTCAAAAGTGTCAAGGGCAAGAAATACCACAGAATCATATAGGTTGGAAAAACCCTTGAACATCACCTAGTCCAATCATTAACATTGACAGTTCTCAACTCCACCCTATCCCTCAGTGCTATGTCAACCCAGCTCTTAAACCCCTCCAGGGACGGGGACTCCACCACCTCCCTGGGCAGCCCATTCCAATGCATGACAACACGTTCTGTAAAGAAATGCTTCCTAATATCTATTTGATACTGAATTTATTGTTTATTGAATGGATTATTCCAGCTCATTTAAAATATCACATTACGGCTGATAAATCTTAAATTTGTAGTGATGTTAATGTTAAAATAATCTTTTGAAGTAGGATTTAATAATTAGAGTTTCAATGCAATGGAATTAAGACTAACATGAGTTTTAAGCTTTAGGTACCTGTCAATTGCATCAGGAAGCTCCTGGAGTTTATTTCCCCCCATATCTAACCATTCTAGATTTGACATGTTGAGAAGAGCTGAAGGGATGGTAGTAAACTGATTCATACACAGATCTATGTGTGAAAGCTTCTTTAGATCACCAAGCTGGAAAGAAAGGGAGATTTATTCCAAGTTTGTATAGCTGTTCCATTATAGCAGTGCTGTAATAATGTTGACTGAAAAAAAAGAAACTATTTAAAAAAATTATAATACATTTGGGAGTTAGTAAACACAGAATGGTTTCTGACTTACATTAGCTGATATTACTTAACAGTTACAGTTCTGACTTGGAAAGTAGGTGAGTTTGAAACTGGTCAGGCAGAAGAAATTTATCTCCTACCTGGCAGTGAGTGTGCTAACTGCTGAGAAGCTGAATGCCATGACTACACCACAGATACATCTCAAGCCTTGAGAACAAATTAAAGATACCACTATTGTTAGTCTTTCATACTCCGTGCAATATGCGGTTTTTTCTTTGTCAAATATTTAGATTTTTATGGATCAAATTGCATGGCCTGTATTTTAGAGGGAACCTAGACACCTTCCACACTGTGAAATCTACTATGGCAAAACATTATAAAAATTAAACATAGCATCATTCAGTATTGCAACACCTAAGTCCTTTGGTGACTCATGCCTTCAGGTGCTTTTACGATGTTCAAGTGATGCAGAGGTGGTTTATTGCATATCTGGTCCAATTGTCTAAACACTCAGTTACTCAAGTACATATAATCGAAGCTTCGCAGTGTTCACATCAACTAATCTCAGTAGGACAGAACTGTGTATTTGCTGTGAGCTGTTAATTTAAAAGCTATCACTCTACAACATGTAACCTGTATCCACATAGATTTTTGTAAACTCTGGATTCTGATTAATAGCGTTTGTTTTCATTTGAAGATTTGTTGTTAGGTATCAATGTTTAGACTCGCTCAGTTTTGCAAGGCACTAATTGCTGTCAACTATTGCCACTACTGTTTTTTTAAAGAAGTTAAACCAAGTAAATACGGTTACATAGTTGTCATCTCTGAGACTAATATTTAGATATGCAGGTCTCATGCTTAGGTCAGTCCAAATTAAGCCTCAGTAGTAGGTGAGCAGTTGTTTTTATTCTCTCGTAATTGCATTCAACATCTCAGAACAATATTCATTGAATTCTCTGCATAAGCAGTTGTATAAGTCACACAAACCCTTTTCAGAGCTAGAAGCTATGGTAAAGATGCTTAGAGTTGGGTCCTGGCCTATGGTATGATTCTCAACCATAGGGAACTTCTCTGTGCTAAGGTGTCAGACCCTCAGTGGGGTAAATCAGTGATGACCTTTAGTCTAAACAAGTTAACATCAAGTGTATCACTGCCCCATATGCACTACCACATAATTTATCAAGACAAAATAGAGATTGGCTCCTTCAACTACTGGGGTATATGTATGTCCTCGTGTGGCTCCAGCTGGACTAGTCATAATATTGTTCACATGTGTATCTGTGGAGTAGTTGTGAAATCAGAATATCTAAGCAAATCTGGAAACAGAGTGCAAAGTTTAATGATAATTGGGTTTGAATAAATTAAAAATATGCATTAAACAAAACTAAGCCAAATGAAAGAGGCTGTCAAAACCTGAGGAGGAAGATCACAGATACTCCTGTTGGCAGCCAGTTCCAGTCTTTCCAGACTGATGCAGTTACTTATTTCCTTGGGAACAGACTTGATTCTATTGTAACTGAGAAGCAGCTCTTGGAGGCTAGTCAGCTGGCCTGCAGAGAGCACAAATGAGAAATGATAAATGTTCACATTCATTCTGTTTGAAATAGAGTATTATTTGGTTTGTGTTATCCTTATACTGTTACACAAGTGCTCTGTGTTCTCACTAAAAAAAAAGATTCACTGAAATTCAAATAGTAGGACTTCAGGACTCTAGTGCAGAAGTGCACTCATACGCTACAAAAAGACCCCTTATGAACATAGGCTACTCACACTGTAGACTTGGTACATGAACCCTGTTTTTCAATATCATTTTTCTAGCTGCATTCTGATGTCTAGTACGTGCTGTACTTACCAGCTTTTTTCTCATGGGGAGCTTTCATAAAGACATGTCTCCTTCATCTGGCCATTTTTTTAAAATGTATAAGGAATCCATGGTTTTAAATCTCACTGCCAGATTTAAATTGTCTGTTTTCTAACTACCCACTAGGACTGTTAGACAGGCAAAGTGCACAAAAATGGCATGTTTGTGTAAGATTAATTTTCTTAGAAAAGCAGCTTAAATTAAAAGAAAGCACAGCTCACCAATTTCTTTAGGTACATTTTCAATTGAGTTTCGGGATAGATCCAGAACAACAAGGTTGTGAAATCTTCCAATGAACTGAGGAATTTTCTGCAAGCTAGTTCTATGAAGCTGCCATTCCTGGAGATGGACTAGTTTCAATAAGCACGAAGGTAGTGTCTAAGACAAGAAATATGAACCAGAAAAAATTCAGCTTAGTATACAACAAGAATACAGGCTTATGTAGAAGTTTTATTTGAAACAGTAACAGTCTTGTGATTAAAAAAAAAATCTTTCCTTCTCAAGCTACACTGTAATGTCCCAATATGAACACAATCAACATGGGTAATTCTGACCACAGATTTAACCTGCCCACTTTTTGCTCCCAGGATTTAGAGATATGCACTACTGTCATTGCCTGAAAAGCCTAGTGCTTGTTTTTGTTTGTTTGTTTTAAACAAAGCCAATATAACTGAAAATGAAACTGCTCTACATAGCTTTTTTGCATTTAAATGGTCGTCTAAATTGTACTTCCTATTCTCTTAAGAAAAACTGAGCATTTGATAACAGAAGAGCTGAGGGATAGAAAAACCACATTGTCTGTATGCTATGAGCTCTGAACAAGGAACACTGGCCTACAGACCACCAGAGTATTGCTGGTTTGGCTGTCACTCTCGCTGGCCTCAACAAGGTCTAATTCTCATCACTTCATAGCAACTGGCATCTGCATTTCTGTATGGCTCAGAACAAACAGCTTCCACTCTTTCATTGATTCTACAGTTAGTCACTTCCCCCTATACATTAGAAACAAGAATAATGGTATTCTGGGAATCTGCTAGCTCATTTTCACTCTTGGAAAGAGAAAGTAAACAACAGCAAGAAATATTTTCACGTACCTAAACACAGGGTTTTCACTTTGATACATTTCAGTAGTTCTGGTGTGTTAATGTTTAATGAGGATTTACATAATTAAACTAATTTGCAGTGTAAATAATTTATAATTCAGAAAAGCCTTTTGGGCTATATTTTTGCAGAGTAATGGTTAATATTCAGAACGAAAAAAGTCAGCTTTCTTTTACACACTCACAACAGCGTATCTCAATTCATTGTTAACAAAGCACATGCTGAGCACTTCATAGATTAAAAATAGTACAGCTCTGAGTATAAAGTTGTAAATAGTCATTTTCCAATGCATCAGTCGTTCAACCCAAGCAACAATCATTCCTGTCTACACTACCTTCCATTCTTCTTCCTCTATCCTTAAAATTGCTCTTCCACCTTCATTAATAACTTTTTCTTTGAGCCTTGCTAAAGCGGCTCTCTCCTCCCAGACAAGTAGTAGCCTACAAGGGAAAGAAGATCTGTCAGTGGTGCAACAATGAAAACAGGCAATAATCACTATCTGTTCTATTTTCTGGAACAAAGAGTAGCATTTTCAGATGTCAAGCAATGTTTATTATATCTCGATGCTAAATATACTATCAATTTGAGGGAAGACAAGAACATGAAGTAATGTTTGGATGAGGTAACTTATAGGAGTTCTGTTTTACAGGTCTTCAGATTTACAGTCGGAAGACCTAACTTCATTCACTTTCAACATGTTGCAGCATGGCAACAGAATGTAGTGTCATGTGGAATTAAGTTCCAAAGCCATCAACTTTGAAGCAGTCTCCTTAAGAGGAAGTCTTCAGTCCCACCAAATCTAAGTGCAATCAAACAAACAAGGTCAATCTGCTCGAGGTTCTTTTATCTTGATTTCCAAAGGGGACTTAAACAAGAATTATGAAAAATGGGCTAATTCTCTTTCTTTCTGCTTATATTTTCCATTAATAACTTTTGAATTTGTTATTCCACTTCAAACACATCTGGCAAATTAAGAAGAGTTCCAAAAGTAGAATATTAAATTTCTTCACATTTCATGAAACTGCTGGCCAGACAGAAGACCAATGCCTCCACTGAGAAGAAAATAAATTAAATCTCCACTGGTTAGACTATTCACATGGGAGCAGATTTTAATATCTGACTTTAGGGGATTTAGTATTTATCCTAATATTTTTATCACAGAACATAGTTTTTGGTTTGACCTGACCATATTGCTTTATTCTAACCAGTGGGAATTCTGCTGGAGTAATGACTAAAGAATTCGACTCTGGATGAGTTGGAAAAGACCAGTTACAGTCTTCTGAAATGCAAGATACAGTCTAGCTTTTCACATACTTAAAGATCTACAATTTACCTACCTTCCTGCAGACCTCTGTCTGAACTCTTTTTCCTTCTGTAATTCTTCATTTATCTTGTGTATTCTCACTTCCCAAAGTGTCTTCACAGCAGTGAACGTTCCAACACAAACTGCAGTTTCAGTCATGATCCTTACATGTTCAGATTCAGCCACAGGAATCTGACTCTGAATTTCAGGCTCGATGCATTAGTGTGTGTATCAGCTACCAGATGGAGACAGTGACATGAAAACTAAAATACTGCAATACCCACTTTATTATATTATTAAATGTAATTAATGTATAGAGCTGACATAATTTTACCAACTGCTTGCTCCTTATAAAAATATATAATTGCACCCTGTTACATTTTCTTATAATAGGAAATGGTATTCTTGCCATCTCTCTGCATTCCTAGTCAGTGAACAACTGCTGCTCTCAGTTCCTTCCAATGGTAGGCCGAGTACTGACCATACTTACTAAATGCAGATATGAACGTTCATTCCCTTCCCAGGAAGAAATTAAGCTCTTAGTTGCAATTTAAAGGAGTTAAATCCTGGTAGCTGCATCCTGGTAGAAGTACTTGTAACTAAAAGAGTTTTGCACTTTAGAAGAAACTGAACTGTTGCTGGAAATAAATTAGTATACTTTATTTGCATTAATTTTCTTCATAGTTTAACTCCTTATAAAATATTTTACAGTTAGTAATGCATTACCTTTAAGAAAAGGCTTTTTAAATTCTTCAGATCCCTCTTTGAAAATTCTTGTAGGCCTGCTGTCAGGATCCACATTTAAAAAAAAAAAAAATCAGCCTGAAATTTTGAAGTCATCTATTCCTTTGTGAGATAATTAGTACATACTTTCCTGAAGAGAAGCGAAGTAGGATACTTAGTCAGCCTAATCAGTGCATCCCTCTAAAAAGCATTCTTATTGCTGTTACTGGAGTCATTTGGGGAGGGTTTTGGGGTTTTGGTTTTGCGTGTTTTTGTTTGTTTTTTTTTTTTTTTAATGAACTGCAGCCAAAATATTGATATTCAGATAAGCTTGGAGGGCTAAACTTTATGCCAACAGCAGTGTACTCTGAACACTGATGATTTGAATGCTCCCCTTGAAACTTTTTACTAATACTTGCAGGGACGAGTAAGAAAAAAAGTCTTGCGTATCCATTCAAAGTAAAAAACGAGGGTAACTTTCTTCCAAGCAAGCAACTGGATAACAACAGGAGTGGAAATTCAGGTCTTTTCATACATATATTTCCCTGCAATAATTGCTGCCAATCTGTCTTTTAAAGAAATCTTTTATATCATATTTATTCCATCATAATTTTGTGTGGCATGGATAAATCACAATTTTTTAATGAATATTTTTGTGTTCAAACTGTCAATTGTTCAATTTATGCTTACCATTTCTTTTGCTAACACAGTTATTCATAAAACCTTATTATACTGAAATCACTTAATTAAAAATGTATAGACAAATAACACAGAATGTAAATTGTCCGGATTGCTTCCTGTTGTAAAGACAGCATAAAAATAAAATTGTAATGCTTGAATAAAGAAGAATCTGGTTCAATACATTACTATTAAGGATTCTTAACTGTTCTCTGTTTGTTAAGGAAGAATGGCAGGATTTGACAGGTGACACAAATGGCAACCACAGTGAGGCACAATGCAGTCTGGCATTTAAGTTCCTAAAGAGAAACTTTTTGCTGTAAAGAGAGGATTGCATCCTCTTTCCCTCCCTCATGTAAATGTGATCATGTTTACGAGTTCGAAGGATTAACTTCTTTTTCAGTGATCTTCATAGTAATTACCTTTCCCATTCCTCATCACAATATGCAAGAGTAATGACTAATACATTTTTTTTTTTGCTCTGATGAGTGGTTACAATTTAAATTGCCTTATTTTCCAGGATTACACTCCTACTGAGATTAAGTGATCTACCTGATCTATCCTTTCTTGTTGTTTAAAGACATTTTTTTAACTATTAACCTTTTTAGGTAGAAAACTTATAAATCTTTTCATATAAATCATGTGGAAAAAAAATGCATTTGTTAATACTTGTACTACTAAAACCAGTACTGGACTACACAGTCAAATCAGTACTTATTTTTAGTAAAGCATACATTGGGCAACTCTCTTCTGCTGTGGAAAGCATATTATTCCATGAATATTGCTTTAGAACCATGAATTATGAAACAAGGTCTAAGTATATGACTTTGTTTTCAAGGAGATTTAATTATATAGTAACAGAACTACCATCAAAAGCTTCTTGTTCTTAGATCTTACTATTTTCCAGGAAAATAAAAACCGTAATAATCATGCCTTTATGGCCAACAATTTAGAAGGGAATGCCTAAAGTGTGGCTGTAAAACAGCTGCAAATTTACCCCCAAGTAATCAGATCTCCCAGTAACTTCACTTCCAAGCATCTGAAATAGTTTAACAACAACTTACCTCAATTATTTGGTGTCTTCAGCTTTTCTGTGGCTCATTGCTTTCTGGGCAGGAGCAGAAATAAATTATGAATCTTGTCTGTACTACCAAAACCATTTAGAACTCTCACTCAGGCTCCAATGCAATGTCAGACTAGTTCTAATTTTAACCTAAGCTTAGAATAGAAGGTATCACATGAGGCACTTCTGTAAAACCCCTAAGCATTTACCATTCTTAATGTCTTCCCGGTCTGCTGCATGTGACCCGACTCCCATAAAGTCCTGGATTCTCACTAACAGAAGTTACAAATTGCAAACAAAAGAACGAGTGCTTATTATGCTCCATGATGAAAAATAAGAGAGTTTTGAATTCAAAATTACAATTACTTGCTTTACTCTAGTAATGTTTCTCTGCAAGATAACTGAGCTTCAAAGTGCTATTAAACAGCAACACTGGCTAACTAGACTAGAAAAAGTATTACATCACTAAGTATTTTACTTATTACTTTTGCCCATGCAGAAGAATTCTCTTGTTGAAGGATTTTAGTGCAAATTATCAAAGTCCAGACAGAAAAGTAATCTTTCTCAGAATGTGCAGAGGGGTTATTACCCCTTTTCATGCTCTCAGTCATGAAATATTTTTAACATTCTATTTCTTCAAAGATCCCTTGGAGAAGATAAAAGGAGAACAACTCAGTCGGAATCTTTTCCTTCAACCAAATTGAAAGAGTGACAGCAATAATAACAGGTCACTATTTGAGGCAGAAGCCATGAAACGGGGTACTTCTAACCAATTCTTGCACTGGAGTATAAAACGTGAAGATGAAATTTAAAAAATATCATTCATTTGGTTATAACCCTCTTTCAGTAGAAATAATTCTTCTTCATTAGCCTTAGATTCTAGCATTACCACATAGAATTTGTAACCAAAACACCACCCTCCACTCCATGACCAGCTAAATACCTGAAGACCAACTCTTTCTCAAAAAGATAACTGCCTTAGCTTTCAATCTTCTGCACTCTTTTTTTTTTTTTTTAAGTTATGCAAAAGCAAAAAATCCAACATGTTCTTTGACATAGGTATTTCTTCTTTCAGTTTTGCTATAGATTCAGTCTATACCAGTTTTGATATAAATTCAGTCTCCACAGTGAGATTTTTTTTCTTGATCTAAAGAAGTCATAATGAAAAACCTAACTAGTTAATTTCCTCCTCCTTAAAAGAGACAGATAATTAGAGCTAAGGAAAAAAAATAACCTTCCCTTTTATTGGAGTTTTAGGAGACAAATTTCATTATCCTTGTATAAGCAAAATTATTCTGTCTCAAATATTTCAAAATCACTTTATTGCTTTCTATCATACACATAGTTCCTCAATTTATTTTCTCCATGTTCACCAGATTAAAAAATGTACTATTCAGACTAGGCTCTTACCACACAATATACTTGTAGAAAAGTAGCCATTAGCCTGTAGGTTCTTTAAGATAAGAAGAAACAGAAGTTTGAGTCACCTGTACAGGACTGCCTGCATAAAATTCACAAATAAAAACAATATTATTACAATTCTTTGTGGCTTTATTTTTTTTTATTATGAATAAATAAATCTGATATAAATGAAATGGGTGATAAGCATGATATATTAGTCAAACTTTGCAAGAAATGACCTATATATAAAAGACCCTTATACCACAATAGAAATATAAATAGCACCTTACATGTATGCTCCCATGCTCCCTCCCTTACGTTACCATCTTTCCTCTTGCTCAGTCTCAGTATCAAGGATAGCAGAGATTCTAGATCTGGTAGCTTGTGTCTTGCATCTTCACAGCTAAACACAACAGACAGTTTTGGAGAATGCTCCTGTAGAGGCAGTTTTTGATATATCTGAAGAAAGGAGAAAATGTCCACTTTGTGCCTTACAAATTAAGGCCACGTAAATGTCTTTTCTTGTGTCTGTTTACAACTTATGCTTCTAGAAGGTATTTATATCCAACAGTTTTCTTCATACCTCCTGTTAAGTAACCAGTGCAGTCATCATCTGTTTAGTTTACCTTCAAGCCACATAACTGTTGTCTGTTCTGAAGTCATTAATTTGAACTTACTATGTGCTTTGTATCTGAGTTTAAAAAGTCCTTATCTCACATAGTATTTTTAGATGTTAATTCTTTGTTTTATTTGATTAATCTGTCAAATTCTAGTATTTGAACATCAATAATACAGTGCAAACTTTTAGAAGGTGTTCTGCTTACTGTCAGGTTTACATAATGACGAAATAGCAAATTAGATCCTCCTTTTTTTTTTTAACTAGACAGATGCTTTCTATAAGAAACAAAAATAACTAGAGAGTATTTAAGAATTGCAACTAATTCCAATCTATAAAAATACAGGATATTTTACAGAGTATTAAGGCCCTGATAGTTAGCAATTAATGTTATCAGTAAGCATTTGAATAAATATGGTCTCTTCATTTATAATTTGACAAAGAATACCTGTGTAAGTAATTGCCAGGAAAAAGTGGACTAGCAAAAGACTTGAGAGGTTTACTTAGTTAAATAACAAAAAGCTCTCTGGACATCTTACAGCAGAAGCATAAAAGGCATTTTATTTGTATATGAATTTTTGCATAACTTCTTTTGGGAATTTGGATATTATTTGTTAAAATAAATTTACGTGTCCAACAAGGAAGAACTATGAGTATTTCCCTTCAAAACAGGTTAATCAGATTATAAATACCGCAGTTGTAGATCAGTGTCATTCAGTCACACCAGCCTCACGTCCATATGTATTATAAAAGGCAAGATAAAGACATTCCATCATTGTATTCAAAAGTCATCCCATGACCTATTAAGTTTGACAGTCTGCTGTAGAACAACTTACAGCGCTACTAATCAAAAGAATAATTAATTGATAGATTGGTACCAGCTGTTGAGAACTTGTAACCACATAAAATTATTACATAATGTGAGTAGCAAAGGGCATGTGCTAGCGGAGCCAGCTTTTGTAATTGTTCAGTCTAATCCACAAAGTTTAAAGGCATATTCTAGCCATGATTTCCTTTATTTAAGGTCTATCAGCATTGAAGCAGGATTCTCCAAGTACGATTTCCATAAATTAGAAAAACGGGCCATTGTAGCTCCATCAATGATGCGGTGATCAGCTGACCAACTCACATTCATTATCTGTGCCTTAAATACTTCACCTTTTCCATTAAACCGAGGAAGAATCTAAAAATCAACAGAAGAGAAAAAATATTAAATACTTAATTAACAAATCTATATTTTTAATTGTTCATTTGTTAATCTAAATTTAAACATTTTGCTAAATTAGACAGAAAGCAATAGTGCTGTTCAAAAAACAAAGACCTTCCCATTATTGTTTGTGCTGTGGGTTAGAATATATCTCAAAACTACATATTAAGCAGTTATATCCTGTTTCCACCATCATGGAAACACTGAAGTAGTGACAACCTTTCTTGACTCAAAAGTTCTTCTTGAATAGTTTATTGCACTGTTAGTGCTCCAAATTATGGTTTCCTTAAGGCATCCCATAAACAAAAGGTGTATAGGAAGAACGTAGAAAAAGTATTTTAAATTAATACTAACTTAATTTCTAGCATTGCTCTCAAATGTCTACATTAAAGAAATGTAAAAAAGCCTGAAATTCAGAAAATATGAAACTGCCTTCACCATACAGCTCTGTGGATTTAGCTATCTGGCTTGACATTAAACTTCATTATCAAAATACATTTTTAGTCTCAATTTTCTCCTTGATGATCAGCAAAAACACTATTGCCATAGCACTTGTAAAAATATATTTATGTTGTTTCTTAATAACTAGAAGGCTAAACATAGATGCGAGTGAAGTATAACAAGATTCTAGAAAACAAGTATGAACCTTTGGCATAAGAGACTTCTATTTAAACATTTGGTGTTTCTGTACAGTCACTTAAAAACGTCACAAAACTTTTCAATTGCAAGCTATGCAGTTTCTGTAACATAAAAAGGAAATGTTTATATAAAGAAAACAAAATAAAGGGACACTCCACATTTCATTTTCATTACAGATGACCTTAGTTAGCTGGAATTAAACACTCACATCACTGAGATAAAGTTAATATACCTGTATCTTTCCAAGTGCTCCAATAGCTACTTCAGGAGGTAGTATCACTGGTTTGGTGTAAGTGCCACCAATCTAGAAAAGAAAAAGCTGGCAATATTAGTTAATGAATAATTTATTTATGCTTTTTTAAAGCAAACTGCCTCTTGCATTAATTGCTACCGGTTTTGTTCATTGCATATCAAACTTTAAGGTATTAATTTCAGAAGCAGTTTTCAGATGTAAGTTCTCATTTTTCCTGTACTTACTGTGCCAATATTTGAAAGGGTGAATGTTCCTCCAGTGAGGTCATTTGTTCCCAATTGGCCTGCAGAGCCCAAGGCCTGTAGGCGATTTAATTCAGAAGCAATCTCAAACACACTACAGACTTGAACATTTTTCACATTTGGGACAATTAAACCTTGCTCTGTGTCCATAGCAACTCCAATGTTGTGCGAAGCCTGCAACAAGTTTCAGTAACCGGACATTAACACAAGTAGTCAACATTAAATGTATTTTACATTAAAAAAGCCTTTGAATAATGTCTTCTTTATATATCTTTTTAAACTAGAAAGTGCTGTCTGTAGCAAGTGACTCCTCTATACAACTTTGAGGGAAGAAGTGGATATAAATTTCTAAACATTAGCTTTCCACATCTACAAAGTGCAAATTCATTTTGGCAATTTCACATCCAGGAAAAACAAAATCCAGGAATCAATTTTACACTGAAAATATTTCACTTTAGAATGATTATATGGGTAACAAAACACAACTAGCAGAAACTGAGTTGACTTTCATTTGCTAGAAGGAATGTAGTCTGATCCATCTGAGAGATATTGATAAAACAGCACAAAAGGAGTTTGTACTGCAAAGAAGCATGTACACATCACTTCAGAAAATACACACTTGCTGCCCAGAAGTATCAATCCATCACCTTGTGTGAAAATTAAATAGTTTTTATCAAAAATGAGTTTAAAATAGCACTTTAATACATAAGGGTTGAGTGTTGGAACAGTGGAATCACTATGCTATTAAAATCTAATACAGTAATTTTTAGTAAACATTCTCACTTTAAATGCTTGGCCCATCTTCAGGAGAAAAGTAGGAAACCACCATACTAATATGCATTTTTGAGGCAAGCCTGAATAAACAAAGTGACTCTCATTAAACTACTGAAATAAGATCAATAGTAAATCAAATCCGACCTTAGAATCTGGACACACAAATTATTTTCCAGCACAACACTGTAATTCTGGTTCTTACAATTAGCTAAGACATTCTGAAAACCCCTTGTCGGATGTTAGTTGAGTTTTTCTGCTCACAACTTTTATCAGTGGTTTACAAACCTTGTATGTGACATTTTGACAGCTTTCATCCAAAGAAGCATTAAGAATAGGATACTGCAATAATCCCAGAGAGGCTGCCTGTTAAATAGAAAAGAAAAAAAAAAAAAGCTAGATTTTTATATTTTATAACCAGAGTGCTGCATAGAAAGGAAGGAACAGTGGGAGACAATATAGATTAATAACAATATGGACTTCCTCAGTACAATCAAATTTGGCTTAAACTCTCCTAAACCTGTCTGTTGATATTCCGTCATTATTAGGATAGAAGAAGAAAAAGAGAATTTACAAAATCTAAATATACATCAGACATATAAAAGATGATAAACCCTTTCCCAAGTAGAACTGTTGTTGAATCTGCATGTGTTATTTCTGTTCCACAATTCAAATCAGATATCCCAAGACAGAAGTTACAAGATTCAGCAGTAATATTATTCTCAGCTCTCCACTTAGATGACAGTTTTTTCAAGTAAGTAATATTAATTCCCACTAAGGAGAGTGAGCAGAATAAGTGCTTACTTAGCACTAACTGAAATAGCATTACCAGAAGTTTCAGACTAAGCTATGCACTCAATGGATAGTTTAGGCAGTGCACCAGCCTTCACTGATGCCAACAGCTGGAAATGGAACCATGGTAACTAAATGAGTGCAAGTGCTTGGTCTTCTGAACAACAGAAGAGACATAATGATTCACCTGAGAGGTTCATTACCAACGAAAATATAATAACAATAATAATGATGCATTTATGAGGTTCAATTTGATGGAGCTCATAAAAAATACTGAGTTTCCAAAATCTGTTTTGTGTAATTCAAACACCTAGTGATGCTTCCCTCCATAATGAATAGTGCTTTTTCTGCTCTAATCTTTCCTATTAATATTTCAAAAATTTTCCATGATATGATACAACCCTAACTACAACTCTAACAGTAAATTAATAAGTGGTTCAATAAACAAGTTGAGACTTTTCTTATGACCTGTAATTATTCAGGTGATAGAGAGGTGCTTCAAACTTAGAACAATCATTGATCAGATTTTGGCAAAATCTGCGTAAGTACTCCATACAGTGCTCTGCTGCACATCTCACCTTTATGAAAAAAGGCATAAAGGAAAGCTTAACTCCACGAATCTGTGCTAGAGGTTTCAGATCTTCTCGCAACTGAACAAGCTGAGTTAAATCAATCTCATCACAATAACCAAAGTGAGGTATCTTCAGGGCTGCACTCATAGTCTTTACCATTGCCTTGTGAAAACCTGGAAAATATTCACTGTTTTCTTAGACAAACAAAATGAACTTCTGGGGAGTTATGGTAAAATTTCAATTATTTTTTTTCATTAAACAAATTACGCAACTGAAAAAAGCAAAACAAAACAAAACCCAAACACAACAAGAAAAAGACAAGATAAAGCTCACTTTAGAAGCAACACTTATTCAGCACACGCAACTAAATCTTTATGATTGTAATATTTCAGATTATTTTATTGCATATTTCTCCTATGTATGTATGTATTTGAAATCATAATACAGTAATCTGCACAATTCTTTCCAGCCTCTCCAAGTAAACATTGCCAAAAGCAAAAACCTTTTATCTTCCTCTTAATGTGATTTTTCTTACCTTAGTGGTTTTGTTGCACTCTTCTCCAGAAGAAGTGTGAATGCTGAAGTACGCTATTATTAGGCACTGATAAGCCCTTACATTTACTGCATTTTACCACTAATTGAATAATGAGTCATACTGTGACAGATTCACATTTCAGAATTCCCACCTGTCTCAGCATGTGTGAAGAAACACAGATTAGAAATGAGCAAGTGCACCTTGCAGCCCAACTCCATCCAACCAAAACATGGACAATTATTTCATAAAATAATTTCATGCAACACCTTCTTACAGAGCATGTTTTCCTACTGCTTGTTTGTATGACAGTAACATGAAGCACACTCCCTTCAAAAGGAATCAACTGTTCACTGAGTAACAATTACTGGTAGTCTACTGTGAACATGGTCTCAAGATTTTCTATTTTATAATTTACCTGTTATAGGTTCAGTTTTATCTTTTCCTGAAAACACAAGGGGTCTGGAAACAGGGAGAGGAATTTTGCGTGCTTTGTCCTTTGGAGCAGCTGGCACAGTCTCTGATTTTGGCAAAGGTGGGATAATTTCACCCTTTGGTGACGGAGGTAAAATAGCTCCTGTTTGTTTGGCCAAATAATTGAGTATGTCCTCTTTAAGGATTCTGTTATCTTTGCCTGTTCCAACAACTTCACTCAATTTAATCTGAAAAGTACATAACAAACTATGACACTTTTGTTTTACAGCAATATAAAAATATCCTATATTGTGAGCTACAGTTAAAAAAATATTCTAGTTACTGATCTCACATAAGTACAGTTTTCTTTCCCTTTATAACATACTTTTAGGAGGAACCATTAATACTACTTACCTCTTAATTACCTCACAGGATCAAAAGTGAAATATTAAATTTGAAGAAAGCTACTTGTCACTTAATTTTCTCTACTTACTGTTTTATTTTTTTGTCCTAAAAAAGCACCACAAGCTTTCCAAACCAATGGAATATTTACAGATTCATAGGAAAAAAAGAATTAGAAAAGCACCTTGTACATCCTCTGCCCTAACACAAATCTGAAAAACAGAGCAAGGTAGCTAAAGCTGAGATTCCATTTTTCCTTCCTCTGTTCCAGGAATCTGTTCTGATACTTTATTATTTTTATTCTAAAAAGGTTTTCTTAACCTTCAGCCTAAAGTATCCTTAGCTGCATTTTAAGCCCAGTAATTCTTTTCCTATCCACCATAATCATCAGAATGCACAATTCTTTACAATAGTTTTTACACATTTGAAATGTATTTGAAAACAAGACATTTATCACAGAACTTTCCTCTAGATCTCCTAGTTCCTCATTTCCTCTGTGTTCTCCTAGTCAGTCAAACCACTATATAAAAGATGGATAAAATGCAGCAGGACCTGATTCAGCAAACTTACATTGTTCTCCATGGCCAAACGACGAACTGCAGGGGTTGCTAATGTTTTGTGACCTTTTATCTCTTGGTGAGTGTGCTCTTCATGAGACATAGGAGGTGTTTCAACAACATCTTCTTCTGAGGCAACACCTGCAAACAGAAAGAAAAATTTTAACTTTACTACATTATATGCATTTATTAAATTCCAACATCATCCACTCTGTGATTGTGACAGCTGAACTTTTTAACACTTACTTTGAACTACTGTGGATGGGAACATAGCATGCTAAAGGCTGCTACTTAGCTAAATTTTCATAAGGAAATGTCTAACTCTTGAGATTTTAAATCCTAATAAAATATCACAGCTTGTTCTACTTAGTTTTCTTGACTCTATAAAGGAGAAAAAAAAATTGGTTTTAAGATTTTCAGGGGGAAAATGTAAACTCCTCTGTCACTCATGGTTTTATGACAACAAACATAAAATATGCAAGAGAAAAAAAATGGCTTACAATACCTTTTGAAGCATCGATTTCAATGTCCACTAATGGTTTTCCAACATAAGCAATTTCATCTAAATTGTAATGGAGTTTCCTAATGATGCCATCATAACGACTAGTAATAGTAACAGAAGCTTTATCACTTTGTACTTCACAGATGCTATCAAACTGAGACACACTATCACCTTCTTTTATATACCTAAGAGAAAAGACACAGGCCAGTATAAAACACATTAAGTGTAAAAATCTGTACTGTGTATTATTTTGATTCAGTTATGTACATTCCCACAACATGAAAATGCATTCCAGATAAGAAGACAAATACTACCTAATGGATACATTTGCTCTATACCTTTTGCCTGACTGCTCCATAACCCTTTTTTTTGGGGCATGAAATGACACAATGATTTAGAATATCATCACACATATAGTATAACTATTAGTTTAGTAAAACAGAGTTTTCTTGACAGCTTATAAGGCAACTAAGAATAAGAATGAGCCCAGCTTAGCCTGAACCTAAGGAAGTTCTTAGTTCCAAATTGCCAGGATCAGTACACGATCAGTTCAGAAAAGAAACTCCAAGTAGGAAACGCTTGTCTTCCATGCAAAGAGAAGGCATTTCAAAGAACATGGTATTTCAGCATTGCCTTCCTTCACTGTACATTTTGATTTTGCTTAATCCATTCATCACTGGCTTTTTACAAACAATTTAAACGTTCAAATCTGTTACTAAAGTCAATAGAGAATGGGTATAGGATAAAATTATGTGGATTCTCCGGACTAGTAATTTTTTTCTAAAGTTCAGCCTAAGTAAGTATAATAAAAGACAGACCTCTTGCACTCTAAACACATTAATCACTGAAGTAAAGCCTATATACCGGTGCAGTTAGGGCATCCCATTCCTTCCACCTTTTTCACTCCCAAATAAACCAGACTGCAAATAAACAAAATGTAAAGCTCAGTACACACAAGTCTTTAAAATGTGGAAAATGAAACTTGAAAAACTTTACTAGTAACCCAGATAACATATACTCAGATATATAATTGATAATACAGTTATTAAACTACTTGCTGATCTCTTAGTACATTTTTAAGAAAGTAGAGCTTACCATTCTTTTACAGTCACCTCTGTAATCCCTTCTCCAATGTCGGAAAGCTTAAACTGGACAATTTGGCCGCATGAAACTTAAAACAAACAATAAGGAAATACAGCATGTTTAATATTAAATATATCGGACAGAAAAATCTGAATGCATCAAAAATAGTCGACAAACCCGTCATATACAAACTGCTAACATAACACTCATAAAATAGCAAAATAAATTATTTTATTATGAAAAAGATTACCAGCAGATGTTCTGAATAATCGCTGTTGATGACTAAACTTGAGGGCAGATTTGTCAAACACGCACACATATTTTGATTTGATAAAGCGAATGCTGCTGCACGATCTAACACGGTGAATGCAAACCTGGGGGAGAAAAGTCTCAAGTGTTAATATAATGGACTGAAGAATGTAGAGCTCATTTAATATTCCTGATGCAACAGCAATACTAAAAGAGTTTAATTCTATTTTATATAAGAGAAGTTCTTACAGAAACACAATTATACTGAATATATAGCAAATGTACAATAACATTAAAATAGCATAAGCTTTGCCAGGTCTTTAACTTCTTCCACTAATACAACATACGGGGAGATCAAAGCCACAATAACACAACCAATTAACAAAAATCATTACAAGACCTGGTAAGAGATTCATACTTGGTATTGTTTCTCTAAGCAGTTAGTTTAATCAGGACACACACACAAAAAGCATACATAATATCAACTACATCAGCCATGTGAAATGTTCTTATCCAGAATGCATGCTGGAAGGGTCCCTAGACTTCAGGAAAAAATCAGCATATTTTTCTTTGTCAGTTCTTATTCCAATCAAAGGTTGATCAGAAGTACTAATTGGAACGGAAATTCACACCAGAGAGGACTGACATTTGCCCTGTTATTTCTGTTAATATACAGGAGGCAATCACCACCTTCAAGTAAATATTATTTCACATCAACTTTAATGACACCTTTTAAGAACTGGGCATGAGATGGTTTTCTTTCATGGTTATGTTTATATTTATCCAGAAATCAACTTAAAGGGTCAGTAGAATTTTCTGAAAGGTTCTTCAGACAAAACCTTATGCTTTAAAACATCATGTAATCAGTCATGATTTTGGTCCAAAGCAAAGCCAGTAGCACTTGCATTGACATAAATAAGCATTATAATTTCAACAAAAGTTAGTCCAGACCCTTTCTTATTTAGTAAGATTTCTTAAATCTAATTTAATTTTGGTGTTATGTTCTCTTAGAGTGCCGTAAAATTAATAAAAATAACAATTTATCTGTAGATACTATCTCTAATTAATTTAGAGATACAAAAAAAAATCAGGTGCTACAATGTACCTCAAGTAGCTCAAAACTGTAAAATTTAGAAATTATCTTCTTAGAGGAGCCAGAAAACAGCACACCTGCATGGGAAAGGTAATTTTAACTTATTTTTTTTAAAAATCCTTTCAATAGTTACAGAACCTCTTGATTGCCCTCCCCACACCCCTAACTGTTCAACTATTTGATTTTATATTACACTTTTTAAAAGTAGATTATTCAGAAAACTGTACAATTCTGAAGTGATGACGTATGCATTCTCTGTATTATTTAATCTAGCATTACAAGTTATTTAACATCACCTTTCTTTTAGGAACAAATATTTATACAATACAATCTATGGGAAACACAACAAAGTTACATTGAGTTACTTTTCAGCTGCCTGCTACTAAAGATTGTATCTACTGATCTAGAATAAGTATTTTTTTTTATTCCTATAATGAACAAACAGTAAATCCTTTTCATTAGTCCTCCAATTTTCCCTATTAAAAAAATCAAGTAAAATGGTAACTTTAAGCTATGACAAATCTTATTAACCCATTTAAAATTCTTATTCAATTACAAAACTGGTATATAATGTACATCCTCACAAGCCTATTCTGTTTTTAATTCTGTTTTTCTTCCCACCTGAGTCCCTAGTTACTTTTTTTTGGTCCAGCAAGATCTTTTTGTCTCAAATTTATAATAAAACTCTTTTCTCTTTATATGACCCTACATGAAAAACACTTAATATTTACCTGTGAAGATGATCACAAGAAGCACATCAAATCTCTGAACTATTTCTAAATGTAAAAAGTTGCATATTGCTTTCTATGTGTCTTTAACATTTGGTAACCAATGCAGGTAGTGATTTAGTAATGTCACCGCCAAAAAAAACAGACTGGTTTTGTTACAAAAGAGTTTCAGTGCTGTTTGAAATTATATTCGTAGGAATAATTCAAAACTACTGCATTTTTAAAAAATGGAATCTTTTTGGTTTGCAATTTTACACATTCTCTATGAAAAGTTGGTGTGCTAGTATGTTAAAGCAATAACACAGTTCCCAATCTGTTCATAGAACAAGGGAAATTCTAAAAAGGGGAAAAATTAAAATTCATTAAATAAAGGCTCTGTGCTTATTAATTGCAGTATTTAATCTCCATAATAATATTTTCTGTGTAATGCCAAATAAGGAAATAACAAAAGCATATAAAAGATAAAATTAGTTTTCTATGTATCTCAATGTCTGGAAAAATATAGTGATAAAAAACCAACAGGCACAGTACTAGCAGCTATGTTTATGTCACCAGTATTACACTATATGACAACTTAAAAGCAATAATGCCAGAGTAAGATAACACTTTTCCTTCAGAGTGCAGAGTTAGCGTGGGGAGAAGAAACTGAGGACTCACTCCAGTCTCTCACTGATACTGAGGCCATATCAGCCACTGATACCTTGTTGACTAAGACTTGTGGTTTGAACCAAAACAGCATGGGAACTGTCGGCTACTTGGGGGAGAACTGCCTTGTCTCTGTTTAGTTCAGTTTTGGTTGTTCCCTTAAAGGAAGCCAATTGTGCTTTTCTAAATCAATACTGATCTTAAAAATCTACCATTAGCCTCAGAATGAAATGTTTTTATGCAGCCTGCAGGCAACTGATTACCTGATGAAGTAACACCAAAACCAAATTGAATAGTTTGTGCTCAAAGGCAATGACTTCTCATTAAAGGATACTCCTCTATACAACTTTGACTTGCTGTCACATCAAGTCATTTTAATGGACATTTACTCACATTGGATTTGTTTTGCATACATATTCTGTATCTCCAAGTACAGAGCTGCCTATATATTAACTGAACCAATGTCCTTGGTTGCACGTTTGAGTCAGACATTATTCCTCACCTAAGTAACTGGCACCATGTCCTAGTGTCTCAGTAACTGTTATTTCCCTGCTACTTAACATGAAGACTCCCAGGCTCCTTTCTTTTCTTCTTCACAACTTACAGCCCCCTTGGACAACCAACATTACACTGTCCTTCATCTTGCTAGCCAAAGTGTTTGCAAAGGCATTGAGAATATTAAAATAAAGCCATTTAATATTATAATAACCATATTATTTCTTGGAACTTATCACTGTTTCACAGTAGATGGTCACAAGAAGAATTAGTACCTAGCAAAAATCAAAACCCGCTTGCAGGCAACACACAATGTAAATAGCCAATTCTATAGTGCAGCATACACATAGATAAGATGAGTCTTTTCATCTTATCAGAGTCTCCCTCTGGGTTTAAGAGTAGATGGTTTAGTTAAAGAGAAAACTAAAAAGAAGCTGCTATTTTCAATATTCTTAATTAGTAGAAAATTGCATGTATGTAGCCCAAAGTTAGATAATTACAAAAGCATCACTGAAAAAATGCCTCACTACTGTGCTTTCAAAATACAATATGAATTATTATTAGGAGCAAAAATAATAATAGAAACTGGAACTTGGACTTTCACTTGGACTATCTTACAAAAAAAGATATTTCTTTTCCCTGACATTCCACAAAAGAGCAGTCCAGAACTGGAAACCAGCACTCTTCACTACAGCGGGAAGACTGTGATACAAGGCAGGAGAAAGCATAAAGTCTTAATGGTGGCATATGTTTATAAGATTGCAGGTGTCCTAAAAGGCAACCAACTAGATTCACTGTTTGAAGCATGATATCTCAACTACTTAATTAACAAATGTCAAGGTTCCTGGGATTCAAAGAAACACGTTTCCCCTTTCTGTGTTTACGTAACTACACCGTCCCTGTGCAGACACGGTATGCAAAGGGGGCTGATGCACGGGCGGAGGAGCGGGGATGGCAGCGGAACGTAGAGGCGATGCAGTGAACCAGGCGGCTGAGAAGCAAGAGAAGAGAAGGGTGCCAGCGCCTTATGACAGGAGGCACACGCTTCCTTCACAGGAAACGTGGGCAGGGGGAAGGCATTCCGGGGGCAGCAGCGTGGGGCGGAGGAGGGCTGACTGGGGGCCCCTGGGGAGCGAAGCCACCCTGAGCCCCCGGGAGCAGCCGGCGGGCTCCGCCGGCACGGCGGCAGCACGGGGCGTGCGGGGCCGGGCGCCCTCGGCTGCGGGACACACGGTCACCT